ATTTCCTCTTCTCTTCCCCACCCCCACTTCCCCCAATAACAAACGTTCTTGAGGGAAAGCTGGTGTCTCAGTTCCTGTCTCCCTCCGCCCCATCCCATCCCAGCTGAGAGCTAGGTAGCATGAGCAGGCATACCTGGCTGTAGTGCATGGTGACATAGAGCTCATTCTCAAATTTGAGTGGCTGAGTCCACAGGATGCGCCGGTACCAGAATGTGTAGCCACTGTCCACCTGCTCCATCTCTGAGGCCACATCTAGGATGTAGTCCCGCCGGCTCAAGGGACAGACGTTCTGGCCTAAGTAAGAAGACCACAGAGCAGGTGGAGCTTTGTGTGTAGGTGAGTGAGTTACACAAGCCTACAAGGATGTGTGTACATCTTTGTTTATTTCTCTGGTTCTATCTAGCAATTCACTCAATTATGATTTATTAGGCACCCATTACATACAGAGTACTGTGCTCAGTGCTGGTAGAGGTACAGAGTCTAGCTAATAAGTTAGGAGAATATAAGCTTCTTGAAGGTAGGACCTTTGTATTTGTATCCTTGGCAGTATCTGCTACGTATAAGATACCTGAATGTTTGTTGACTGATTAATAAGACCTAATATCTACCCCCATGGAGTTTGTGGGCTAGGAGTACATATGTCTCAGCGGAAAGTGCACTGGGCCTGGAGTTAGGAAGACCTGTGTTCAAATCTGGCTTCAGAGACTTAATAGCTGTGTGACACTAGGCAAGTCACTTAACCCTGTTTGCCTCAGTTTCCTTATTTGTAAAATGAGCTGGAGAAGGAAATGGCAAACCACTTCAGTATCTTTGCCAAGAAAACTTCAGATAGGGTCATGGGGAGTTGGACACAACTGAAATGACTGAATAATAACAAGTGTATATGTATGGATATGTATGTAAGAGAGTGTGTATGTGTGTGTGTGCATGCACACATGCACACTTATTTTGGTTTATGTTTATAAATATAACGACATTGTGGCTTAGGAAAGAGTATTATACTTGGAGCCAAGAAAACCTGGGTTCAGATTCTGCCTCTGAACTGACTTACTAGCTGTATGATCCTGAATAATCACTGTCCCCCAGCCATGAGTTTTCCCTTTCTGGATCATCTTCTAACCTCTTGCCCAACTTTTCCCTTGATATTTTAGAAGTTGAAGTCTCCTGCTAGCCAGGCCTAGGAGGTAGTCTTAGGAGCACAGGATTATACATAGCCACCATCAGAGAGATACACTTTCTGTTTTCAGGTCTCAGAACCAGATCCTGAGTCTCCATGTCAAGGGATTTGGAGCAAGGAGGGAAGATCTCTAGATCAAATACTTCTATCCCTGCCCTAATGTCCTAATTCTCGACTTCCCGAGAAGAAGATGACTGTCGTGGGCCTGGAGGTAAAGGTGGGAACAAGCAGACAAGAGCAGCCTCTCTGAGGACGATTTTCTCCTTTCTGCCCTGGCCTCTTACCTTGGCCGGTGACAGCAAAAATCACATATTCACTGACGGCCTCAGTCCTTGTCAGGCCCATCTCAATGCAGATCTCTGAAACCACATCTAGGGCCACCTGGAGAGAGAATCCCAATTACAGGAGCAAATGAGCAATTACCCACCTGCTAGTCAGATACCTATCAGGAAAGCTGAAAAAGGGCAGTGCCAGAGGGGTAGTCTCTTTTCAATGAGATCTCTGAGGGAAGGGTTCCTTTGTGGGGAAGACACAGAAGGGGTCATGCAGGACCACCTCAAGTATCCCAGAGTCTTGACTCCCTCATCATCATTACCAAAAACATTTCTTAAGTACCCACCATGGAAATGTGAAAGAGCCCTTGCCTTCACAACATTTACATTCTATCGGGGAACTAGAAGCCCATTGAGGTTATTTTTATGAGGGGAACACTACTAGCTGAGGAGATCAGGAAACATTTCATGTAAAAATTAATGTTTGAGCTAAGCTTTGAAGGAAGTTAGGGATTCTAAGAAGGGGAAGTGAGGAGGGAAGACTTTCCATGCAGGGATACCCCAGGGGGACAGCCTGAACAAAGGCATGGGAGGAATATGTGTAATAAGCCTGGAAATACGAGTTGCCTCCTGTCCCATACTCCCCAGTCTCTCCATTCATAGAATCAGGTGGAGCTGGGGTCTTCTAGGAAACCCTCATCTATGTATCTGACCTGCAGGAGCAAAGGGCTATGTCTCTATCAATATCAGGTAGGTTTGGGGCTTTACACGGTTCTCTCTTTACCGTGCAGGTCTTGATCTTCAGGTGACGTTCAAGCCCTCCGGGAAGGAGAAACAGTTGCCTCTTGGAACTACGGCCAGCCTGTGGGTGAGAAGGGAATGAGTGTGGGGATGGGGAGGGGCAAGGTTCAAAGGAGGTGGGTCTCTCAGGCTCTTTGAAGGTCAGAAACATGGGAAGTAGATAGAAGTTGCAGAGAGGCAAATCTCATCTTGATGTCAGGAAAGACTTCCTTTTATAGCTATCCAATCTGATCTATCCCAAAGTAGAACCTTGGGAGGTTGTGGGTTGTCTCTCATTGGAAGTCTACAAGAGACTGACAGACCACTTGTTGGCTATGTTGTAGTGGGGATTTCTTAAAGATATGGGTTGGACTAGAAGGTTTCTGAGGCCCCTTCCAACTCTAAAATCCTGGGATTCTGTGAATCCAGTTTCTTCTTTCTTCCTAAGGAGCTCTTTCTATTGAGGGTACTGGGAGTCATGAGAGTGACCTGGACATGTCAAAGTAGGAGTACCTGGGTGAGCTAACCTATCCCAGAGTCCCACTGAAGGACCATATTCCTTTCCAAGTCACATTTTTGATTGAGGTTTCTCTGATCACTCTAGGACATAAGCTAATTTCCTTTAGGACTCTTACAGTACTTAGTATTGGTCTCACCTTGGCACTTGACCATGTACTCTCTCAAGTTGCTCCGCAATTATTTCATGTACATAAGTCTTTCCAATTAGACTTCAGGCCCGTTGAGGGCAAGAACTAGATTTTATGTGCCTATGCAGGGCTGGTCTCACAGTAGGAACTTGGTACAGACGGTGTGATTGATGTGATCAGCTAAGTGATCAGCCTCCCTAGATCCGCTCCTGATGAAATCTGGAGACTAATCCAGGATATGTTCCTGGGCTAGGCTGGAGGAGGAGCCCCCACTTGCACTTCTCTCATCTCTCCCTCCTTCCACACCTCCAAGCTTACCAATATGGCCCTCAACTCCATGTTGCTGGGAAGCTCACTTCGGCCACCAAACTGGAAGGTTTTCTGAAGGTTCTGCTCACAGGCCTTCGCAATCCCTGTCAACATTGCACCATGCTCAATGGTTACTTATCACTCTCCTTTCCACCCACAAATTTCCTTTCTCAATTCAACAAGCATTTATTAGGAACCCATTACATGTCCATACATAACACAAAGACAAAAAAAAAACCACCCAGAAACAGTTCCTGTTCTCAAGGAGTTGATATTCTCTTCCTTGGCCTTCTTTGCCCAGGTTCTTAAGGATTCCTTAACGTTGGCCTAGGTATGCCATCAGTTGTGTGAAATGACATTTGCAATCACATGTATATGCTCAAGTGTGTCCTCAGCAAAGAATAATATTGTACCTTGAACAACAAAAAGTTTGAGAATGACTGGAGTAGAACTTCTATTAAGCCTGTCTTATACTTAACACCCCCTGGAAGTCTCCCCACCTTACCTCTTCCTCCACTGCTGTCTCCAGCTCCATGGATTCTTCCTTCTCCCCAGAGGAAAAAGCTCTCGTGAAAGATACTATATAGTTGTACTCATCCTCACCCCTACCCCCTCTGAAGGAATAATCTAATAATAATGATAACCATCTCCACAGAGCTGCCAAAGTGATTTTCCTAAAGCACAGTTCTGACCATATCTACTGACTACTCGAGTGGCTTCCTATGACCTCTATGCCAAACTCTTTTATTTGGCCCTGAAGGCCTTTCACAATCTGGCTCCAATCCATCTTTCCAGCCTTATTCTACATTATTCCCTTTCACATATGCTACAGCTCAAAGAGATCTTCTTGCTCTCACATGACATACTCCCTCTCCTGTCCCTGTACTTTTGCACAAGGCTATCCTCCTTTCTGAGAATGCACTGTCCTCCACCTCCCTTGGGACTAATCAGTTTGTCACTATATCAGTCTTCCTAGTCTCCTTCCCCTTCACTTGGAAAGAGTAGAGAGAGAAAGAGTTCTCTCCTCTCAAAATCCATCTCCTCTCCCATTCCCCTTGTGGCTATGACAGGAGACTTCTCAGGGATCCTTGGGCATTTCTTCCTCTTACCCTCATCCATCCTTTCACCAAGCCTTATGAAGGAACTGGAGATAAAAATCTTAAGAGCAGAAGCCAGGAGGTGCTAGATCTCAACTGAACTAAGGATAGAGAGAGCTTGGATCTGTGATTCCAATGGATGAAAAGTGCCACAGGCTGACACTTTCTTGGCAACTTATAGTCTTAGAGGGTTGCCCAGAGCACTGAGAAGTTAAGTGGCTTGCTCAGAGCACTGACAGTTTAGGTGATTTTCCCAGGGTTACACAGCCAGTATATGTCAAAGGTGGGATACAACCTATGTCTTCTTGCCTTGAGTCCAGCTCCCTCTCCACTATCTTATGTTGCTTGTGCAATTAAGTTCTGACCCTAAAAGCAGAACATTTCTCACCCCTTTCTTAAGCCCCCAATAACATAATATAATGAAAGAACCAGAAGGGACTTTGGGGATCATGTAGTAACTAGGCTATAAAATGAGGGGGCTGTACCACACGACTTCTTAACCTGGAGTCCACAAACCTGATTTAAAATATTTTAATAACTGTATTTCATTAGAATTGGCTTCTTTTGTAATCCATTTTATGCATTTAAAAACATTATTCTGAGAAGGGATCCATAGTTTCACTAGACTGCTAGAAAGGTCTGACCAAGAGAGAGAAAATGGGAAGACTTGCACAGCCCACAGAGGGATCAGGACCAAGGACAGATCTCAGACCAGGAATAAGTATGCTGAAAACCTGGGTCTCTTCTGAACCTCATGCTCTTTCCAATACAGCAAGCTAACCTCCTTCAAATATAATCAAATGGATTATTTTATTTCAAATGGAATCAAAATTAAAACAGAACAAAGCCCTAGAGATTCACTTTGAACTGAACTGAACCACATATTTTCTTTGGCATAATAGATATTGATATAGGTTGACACTAGAGTCAGGAAAGACCCAACTCTTATTTACACTGAGTGACCATAGGCAAATGATTTCATTTCTCAGTGCTTTAGTGGATGTTCTAAGACAGTAATAAGTTTCAAATACTTCAAGAGAGGGAGTTTCCATAAGAGGAATTTTCCATGTCAATTATTTCACAGATCTAGAGCAGACTCCTGCCTCCCATCCAAGCAGAAGGAAACAAGACCACAATATTGACATTTTCTTTAGTTTAGTACATCTTAGGATCATAGATTTAGGGCTGGAAGGGACCTTAGATGTCATGTCAACCCCTTCATTTTATAGAGGAGGAAAACTGAAGTTTGGAGAGGTTAAAGAATTTGCCTAAGGTCACAGAGGGACTTGTGGAAAGAGGCAGGATTTCAATCCAGGTCTTTTGAGTCTAAATCTAGCCCTCTTTCTATTGTACCACGGGGACTTTCATGCACATAATACATGTTTTATTGTTGAATGACAGGAATTGAACCTGAACTGAATGACCGCCTTAAACATAACCACAATAAATTATCAACTAGAGAGCTGTGAACATAGAGGAACTGAAAGGCACAGGAAAGCACCTCCCCCTTCCCCAAGCCTACCAGGTTCCATTCATCTTTCAAGGTTAAAGTCTTACCCTCTCCACATTCTTCTTTTATAATACAAAGCCCTGAGAGGAAAACCCATTTAGTCTCCAACATCTCAATGTGAATGAGACTATGAGATACATTTCTCTCTCAGGAGGAATACCTAAATACCATGTGGACTAGAAGAGTCTGGGGGGGAGAGAGAGCTCTGAAAAAGAGGAAAGGGATCAGGAGGGAGAAATGAGAGCCCTCACAAACAAATTTAGGTATCATTAAAATTTTGCAAAGAGGTGCTAGAGGAGAGATAGTCCCAGTCTCCCTTCTCCAGCCCTCAAAAAGGATCCCCTCTTCACCTTCCCTCCATGTGGGAAGGGAGGGCTTCTGAGGATTTCCATCTCTTCTCTAATTATTCTTTCATTGAGGAGGTCAATGATCAGCCTCTTTGCTCAGACCATAGATAGCATCTCTGGGAATTAGGGAAGGGTAAGGTGGTCCAGGGCAGGGTTCTTGGAAGAAGCCCATTGAATGGAAGGATCCTAAGAATGTCCTTTTCCTTTTTTCTTCTGGGATGGGATCAATTGTGGCCCTCCTACATTTTAATTTTGATTTAGTGACTCTGTATTGCTCTCTGAATAGAATCTATATTCTAAGGGCTTCTCAGGCTGGCTCCACCCCACCTTTCTGACCCTCCCTGGGCACCCACAGACTGAGTTCTGTACTTTTGTCTGGGTATGGTCTACGTATGCATCCCTGCCTTTTGATTTTTCCTGTTCATTTACTTCTGGGGTTTGATTTCGTTTTCATGTATTCAACAAGCATTTTTTGAATGCCTGCTATATCCTAGGTACCATGCTAGGCACTAGGGATACAAAGAAAAAAAGCAAAATGGGGGTCTGTGAAATTGAATGGGGAAAAAATCTACCTTTATTTTCACTAACTTCTAACTGAACTTTGGAATTTCCTTCAATTATTTAAAAAAACTATTCTGAGAAGGGGCCAATAAGTTTCACCATACTGCCAAAGAGTCTGTGACACACAAAAAAGTTAAGTCTCTGGTCTAGAAGGAGAGAGTGGTCAATAGTGACAAATATTGCAGAGTAATCAAGAGGGATAAAGAGTGAGAAAATAATCACTGGATCATCAATAAAATTGGAGAGGGCAATTTTCAACCAGTGTGAGGACAGAAGTCAGATAACCTGAGGTTGAGGACCAGGAAGTGAGAAAGTAGAGGCAATGAATCTGCAAATGGTCTTTTTAGGAACTGGACTGTGAAAGGGAGGAAAGATATAGAATGGCAGCTTGAGAGGATGGTAAGGTCATCCAGATTGAAATTCAATTCAGTTCAAGGCCTACCTCATTCTTGAAGTCATTCATAATTGCTATAATTACACTGATCTCTCTTCTTTCCCTCCCATGAGTGCCTATGACATGTACTATCTGTACTACTCATCAGTGGTCACTTACCATATGTTACCTGGTACTGTTAGGTATTTTTTCATGTCCATGGTGTCGTATCACCAATTACACAGGAAATTTATTGAGGGCAAGGAGGGTGTGTGTGTGTGTGTGTGTGTGTGTGTGTGTGTGTGTGTGTGTGTGTGTACTTATACTTTGCATGTGCTCTTCTCACCCCCCAGTGCTCAGACTGGGCTGGGCACACAGTAGGCACTCAAAATTGACTTGTTGAAATTTTTTTATGATTGGGTTTCCTATCTCCTCTACTCCCACCCCAAGGCTGATAGTGGTCATTTAGTAGTAGAGTCTGAACCAGCAACTTTGGCAGCAGCATAGAACTCACCCTTAAATAAACTTTTAAAGACAAATTCAGTTGAAGGGGAGAGAGCCTCCAGGGCATGGAACCTAACTCCTGGTCACCAGTGGTGTCCAGACTTTGGAGAACAATCAGGAGAAGGAATAGGACTAGGCCAATGGAGAGATGAATAACCTGACTACAGCTTGGGGTGGAAGGAAGGAAGTAACCCATGTGGTAGCTTCCTACATTAACTGATTATTCTTGCTAACTAGGTGTCAACCTCAGCTGCTGCTAAAGGGATATTAAATGCTTTCAGCACCATCTAAATTATAGAACCCTGGGGAAAAGCTGGGGCTGCTTAGTTATGGCTCCCATTGTCATCACAGTTTCCACGAGGTGGCAAATGCTTCCTGAACCCTTGGAGGGGCAGTTCAACGCCCCCTCCATCAGCCTATCCTCTCAGTAACACTCACCCTGGAAGTGTAAGCCGGGACTCCTACACACATCCTGAAAGAATCGGAAGAGGTATGGCTTCAGGACGTCTGAGCACTTGTGGTAGGCCGCAAGGATGTGCAGCAGCCTCCAGCCTCTTTGGCAGCTGTCCCTGTTGAGGTACACAGAATGATGCCATCATTAGGCCAGGCTGCTGTCCCAGATTCCATAGGTGTGTCTCGGAATTATCAAAGCTCCCTCAGCTCTTGGTTAGGGGCATTTTTCTCCTGGGCATGATGGTTGGACATGGGAATTTGGAATCCAAGCAGTTCTAAAGCTCTTGGGAAGGGTAGAGTGAAAACCTTGGAGAATGAAGGGGAGGAGAGGGAGGAAAGAGGGAAGAGGAAGAGGGAGGTGGGGTAAAGAATGGAGAGTAGGTGAGGAATAAAGGAAGAGGAAGGTGGATAGACAGGGAAGGGAGAGAAGCAAAGAAGAAAGGGAGAAAGTGAGGCTGGGGGAGAAAGTGAGGCTGGGGGACAAAGTGAGGCTGGAACCTCAGGATCACAGCATCATCAGACTGCCACCTGATAAATATAGGGAATTTGTCCAGAAGCCTGTGGGGCAGCTCACATCGTCTGCTCTCTTTAAAGGAGTAGTGGGGGATGAGTTGCTGGTCATCCTGGATAAATGCCTCAGAACCCAGAGTATCCCCTATTTCTCCCTTCATCCCCAGCTTTGGACTGAGCCAACCTGGAGGCTGGGAGGGTTCTCTAAATGAGAGGAACCGGAGGGTATAACACCCCCTCCCCTAATTCTGCAGTCACTTCAAGTGTGGAGGAAAGAAGTAGAGGGAAGCCACAAGATTTCTGTGCTCCAGGCTGGGCCAGGGCCTCACTCACGGCTTCGTGCTGGTGTTGTCTGTGATCTGCTTGATGACCTGGCAGTAGGCTTCATCTCGAAGCACTTCATGGTCCCTGCAGAGCTGGGAAAAAAGGACAACAGGCTTATAATTTTAGAGATGAATGAGATACGAGAGGCCATCAAATCCACCCCCATCATTTTACCAGTGAAGAAACCAAATCTCTGGGACATGAAATAATTTGCTCAGATTATAGACAGAATTAAGTGGCAGGTCCTTTGACTTCAAATACAATGCTCCCCCTCCCCTTCTCTGTTATAAACCAAAAATTTGATATATTACTTTCATAACTTAAAACCGATTTCTTCTCTCTATGCCCACAGACACCACCTCAGTTGTGGCCCTTATCACTTCTCCTTGGACTATTACAAAGCCCTCCTAATTGATCTCTCTGCCTTAAGTCTCTCCCCACTGCAATCCATCCTTCGCACAGCTGCCAACGTGACTTTTCTAAAGCATAGGTCTGACCAGATCACCCTCCTACTCAATAAACTCTCTATGACTCCTGGGATAAAATATGTACCTTACTTTTGATTTTTAACACTCTTCATGACCTGGCTTCAACCCAGCCTTACTATACATTACTCCCCTTTCCACACGTTATAGTGCAGTTTAACAGGCCTTCTCTCTGTTACATAGAACTCCATCCCCACTCTTCATGCGTTTGCCTGGAATGCCCTCCCTACTCTGCCTCATAGAATACTTCCTTCAAGGTTCAGCTAAAGCACTTTCAGTTTTCTTTCTTTCTTTTTTTTTTTTTTTTGGCTAGACAATAGGGTTAAGTGACTTGCCCAGGGTCACACAGCTAGTATATGTCTGAGGTGAGATTTGAACTCAGGTCCTCCTGAATCCAGGGCTGGTGCCACTTTGAGTTTTAATAGCTTAAAAGTACACTAAGATTTTTTTTCTGTTGTTGTTTTGGCTAGGCAATGGGGTTAAGTGACTTGTCCAGGGTCACACAGCTAGTAAGTGTTATGTGTCTGAGGTCAAATTTGAACTCAGGTCCTCCTGACTCCAGGGCCAGTGCTCTATTCACTGCACTACCTAGCTGCCCCTTATACTAAGATTTTTGGAACACTCATGTGTGTGTGTGTGTGTGTGTGTGTGTGTGTGTGTGTGTGTGTGTGTATGTGTATGTTTTGCTTATACAGGTATATGTTGTCTCCAGTAGAATGTAAACCTCTTGAAAACAAATTTTTAAATTTTTTGGCCAACTCCCTGAAGCCCTTTTAGTAATTAGGAGCTGAGCTATGAAAGCAGCCCCAAGTCTTGTTATAGAAATGCTTAACATGTTCTCATACTCCTGGTGATCTAATAATAATATAGCACCTACGATATGTCAGGCACTGTGCTAAACACTTTTCAATTATTATCTCATTGGATCTTCACAACAACCCTGGGAGGTAGGTGCTATTATTATCCCCATTTTATAGATGAGGAAACTGAGACACACAGCAATTAAGTGATCTGCCCAGTGTAACACAGTTAGTAAGCATCTGAGGCCAGATGTGAACTCAGGGCAGCTAGGTGGTGCAGTGGAGTGCTGGTCCTGGAGTCAGGAAGTCAGGAAGATTTATCTTTATGAGTTCAAATACTTAACCTTGTTTGCCTCAGTTTCCTCTTCTGTAAAATGAGCTGGAGAAGGAAATGGCATATTACTCCAGCATCTTTGCCAAGAAAACCCCAAAATGGAGTTGAACACAACTGACAACGACAATAACCCAGGCCCAGCGCACTATTCACTGGGCCACCTACCTGCCTCTATACCTGTCTAGTACAAGGGTTCTAGTTTAATACTTAAAATCAGTAAAGCTCTACAGGTGCTCCAAGCCCCTCTACATGTCCCCTTTATTCTCTCCTTCCCCTCTTCTGCCACAGATTGACCCTACTATCATCTCCTTTTTCTCTCTAATCTCCAATCTTTTCCTATCTAATGGAACCTGAGTTCAAATCCTGCCTCAGACTCTTAAGTCACCTAGCCTTTGTGTCTCAGGCATATGCAAACATGCCAGGCATTTCTATAAGAAGATCTGTGGCTGTTTTCTTAGCTCAGCTCCTAATTACCTAGAAGGCTTGAGAAAGTTGGTGGGACCAAGAGAACTTTACAGCTATAAGGTCTTAGTTTGACTTAATCATGCCTAGCTTGGTTCCCATACTGACCCTGAGCCTGTTCTCACTCCAACGACACTACCCTGGGCCCAAGATGGATACTGGGAAGGGCCCCACATTGACTCCCCTGAGGACAGAGGACTAGCTTAGGGCCTTTCCCCATCCCTGATTCTGTCTATCCCTCTAGTTAGCATAACTCACTCCCCAAGATGGAAAGAAGGTAGGAAATATTATTGGTTGTACCCATTTATGTTCCCCCACAGTTGGGGTGAAAGTCTCTCAAAGATCAGCCATAGCATCTACCCCATGTCTTTTGGTGGTAGCTCCAGTGGAGGTATCTCACTCACCTTCTATCCTTAAGCTTCCCTTTATCTCCATCCTTGATTCTACCCCAAGCACATCAAACTAGAGAAACCCAAACCTTCCTTTATTTCTTCCCTGGCCACAGGAGCCCACACTGATCTCTTCCTTCTTCCTTTGAATTCCTATAGCACTGGCAAGGACATTTGCTTAGCAAACACTGACTGGTATCTAGCTATCTTTTCATCCATTTGTAGCTTCTTCCCACAGCTAGACTAGAACTTAAGAAGGAGTGTGGTGTAGTAAATAGTGTTACGATTTGGAGTCAGGAAGACATGAGTTCAAATCCCACTCCTGACCCACTGAGTATGACTACAAGTCACTTAATATCTCTGAGTTTCAGTTTTCCCATCTGTAAAATGAGGATAATCACAAATGTGTTATCTGCTATGGTTGTCGTGAGGCTCAAATGATATACATATGCAAGGCGTCTTGAAAATCTTAGTTATCATTGTCATTCACAAGCAGTGATGATCTCTTATACATCTTTGTATCCCCCATCATACTGTGCCTAGCACAGGTCTGGGCACCCAGCAGGTGCTAAAAACAAAACAAAACAACAACCCCAAACTTGTCAACATCCTGACTCCTTTACATACCTAGAGGTTCTGTTCATGGACGTGGGAAATGGCCTTCAGAGAAGTGGGAGGGGGTGTCTCATGATTTTTGCATTTTTATAATAGAATGAGAAGAATAATAACTGGACTGTTTGGACATTACTCAGTGTCTATCCCTCCAAGACATGTCCCTGGACTCCACTGGGGGACTGTACCACCCCTTATGATACCCTGCATTTTCCCAGGCTGCTCTGGAGAGATTGTCCCACCCTTAATACACTCCTTTCCCAGTCTTAGAAGCAGAAGCCTATTCATTATCACAGATCCTGGAGCCATTGACCGACCCATTAGTACTCCCTGAACTTCCCCATTACTGGTCTCAGAGGGCAGCTTTGAACCACAGAATGTCAGCTGGAAGAAGACTTAGAGGGCAACTCCTGAAACTCCTTAGATAAGGAAAATTAGGCCATATAGAAGGAAGAAACAAACCTTTAAGAAAGAGCGGAGCACATCCAACTCGGTCTGGGCCTTCATCGGGAAATCACCCATGAACTTCATCACAGCTACAGAAAGTACATACCCCACCCAACCCAAAAATCCAAATTAGCTTCACTCGTCATCTATCTCAATAGCTTTCTTCGTGATCTCTGTGCCCTTCTCCCCCACTGGGGGCTCCCAGAGAGGAAATTTCTTCCTCTGGTGGCAGGAGAGGAGCAAGGGCAACTTTGAGAGAATAAGATGCTGTGGCAGAGAAAAGGGAGAAACTGCACTCTGGATGGGAGTGTTCCCAAGTCCGTCCAAGGAAAACCACCCTCAAGCCAAGAGCCTTGGAAGGCCTCTCTTCCTACCCTCCCCCAGTACCTAGGAACATCTCTGTGGTAATTTTGTTCAGGCTGCTGTTGCTGAACTCGATGAGGGATTCCTGGATGGGTGTCTATATGAAAGAGAGAGAAATAGAGGTGCATGAAATCAGTGGGGAGTTGGGGTGGAGTGGTGGTGAAAAGAAACTTTCACTGAGCTGAAGGGTCTGCAAACTTAAATCTGGAAAGGTCAGCTGATTTGCTCAAGGTCACACAAGTAGTAAGTGGCAGAGCAAGGATTTGAACCCAAATTGCTAGACCCCAAACTCATTACTACTCTTTCCATAGCACTGGAAGCAGAGGCTCTGGGCTATAACAAGGAGGGTTGACAATAACAAAACCCAGAAACCACATCACAGCACAGTGTTTTCTGGGTCAGGGAGCCAGGAACATGGCAACATTGATGAGGAGGGCCAGGAACACTGTGAAGTGGAGGTGCTACAATATACCAAAGACATCTTGTGCCATGAAGGGCCATGTCACATCACAGGGCATCCCCATACAGGACTCCAATTTTGGGCCAACATCTCTATCAGAGGAGGTTAATCTCCTGAAGGCTACCAAAACAGCATTTCACAAAAATATTATGATATAAGCTCATGCCTACATCACTGAGTCATGGCAGAGGTTGGGCAGATAGTCCTAAGCCCACCAAGGACTCCTTACCCCTCCTTGGCACTGAGAGGGCAACTTAAAACAGAGAATATTGGAGATGCAAGAACATGTGGACATTGTCAAGTCGGAAAAGGGATATTAAGGAGGCTTTTACCTCTTTGGCCACTCTGTTGCAGAAAGCGATGAAGAGGGCATGCCCACAGTCATGATGTCAATTCATGACATCATTACGTTAGATATCATGAGGATGACACCACCATGCTAGATAACGTGATAATGACATCATCATGTTTAGTTGGGAAGTGGAAGAGAGGGGGGAGTCAGTGACGGAGGAAGAAGTTGGGTGAGAGAATGGAGTGTTTAGGAACTCTGTACATTTTCTCTACTATCCTTGTGCCTGGGATGGTAGCCTCTTCCTGGGGAGGGGCAGGAGGAGGGAAGTGGGCAGAAAGGGAGGAGCTGTGAGGATGCTTTTTTGGCTCAGTCTCTCCTTTCCAATCTATCCTCCACACAACTACTAAATTGATATCCCCAAAGCACGGGTTGGCCTTGTCGCTCCTCTGCTCACAAAACTCTGGTGGTTGTATCTTGACTCTAGGTTCAAATACAAACTCCTCTGGATTTTAAAGGCCTTCACAATATGGTTCTAGTGTCAGTTTCCTTTTCTGCAAAATGAGGATAATAATAGCACTCACATCCCCGGGTTCTTCTAAGGATAAAATGAGATAATATTTGTAAAGCACTTTGTAAATCTTAAAATACTATGCAAATACTGCTTCTGCTGCTTCTCCTTCCTTTGCCTCTTCTTCTTCATCCTCCTCCTCTTCCTCCTCCTCCTCCTCCATCATCATGATCATCATCATCATTGTTATTACCACGCCAGGTTTACTGTACATGGCTCTCCTGGTTGTAGCCAAATCAGCTTGCCTGCTATTTCCCCCATTCAGCATTCCATCTCAGGCTGTTTCCCCTGCCTGGAATGCACTTCCTCACAGGTGCTTCTTAAAATCCCTGACTTCCTTCAGAGCTTAGCTCAGGGACTAACTCCCACAAGAAGCCTATCCTGATTTCTCTCTGTTGTTAGCATCCTCCCCCAGATATCATTCTGTATTTATTTTTAAAACTTACTTCCCTGTGTAAATGGTGTTAACCTCCAATAAGAACATAAGTTCTTTAAAGGCAGGGACTGGTTTGATTTTTATCTTTGTGTCCCCATTGTTGAGTATATGTCTTGGCACACAGTAGATGACTGATGAATGCTGCTTGAATGAATGGGTCAGGAAAATGGGGAAGGAGAGAAAGAAATAGCAATAAGGAAGCTGTTCTTTTTGCAAAGACTCCCTAAGCAGGTCCCGAAGGGCAGGAGAAGAGGTGAAGTGGGGATGGGTGGAGAATGACGACCAGTAACTTGAACTGGAGCTAGGAACTGATCGAGGGTTTCAGAAGACTGTGCTAGTCTAAGCCTGGGTGGATGGCTTCCCTCCCTCCTCTACCTCCTGGCCAGGAAGTACCTTGGAAAATTTCAGCATGTTGCTCACGTCTCTGGATTCTCTTCCTTTCTTGGATTTCTGCCTGAAAGAATCCCTGACACAGGAAACAGGAGAGCTGGTGATTTTCCAACCTCTATGTCTTTGCTTAGGCTATTTCCCTCCTCCAGGAATTCAGGGGAATATGAGTCATCTTTTCACATAGGTAAGTTTTTCCCCCTTTATTAGGCTGTAAGCTTCTAGCAGGCTTTATACTTTATATAACAGATTTATATTTCCCTGTATTCTTCCTCCCCTTATTTCCCCATCCAAGGCTAGGCCATATAGTAGGATTCAGTAAATATTGCTTGACTGACCAATCCAAAGGGTAGATAGGTCTTTGAGGCTGAGGACTGGGATTGCTTCTACTGGGTTACCCAGGCCAGGCATGGACATTACCAAAGTCGGGCTTGCCTTGGGGAGGAACTAATATCACTCTCAAGCCCTCCCCCACCCAGGGCCACCTCAGAGCCCCGAAAGGGGAAGCTATTTGGCTAAGGCTCTCTCCTTCCTGACCTGCCCCATAGCCCATTCAGAACCCCAGAGATTGATTTCCCCTCCAGATTTATGACTTCTCCTCACTCTCACCTTTCTCCTTCTGCCTCCCATTCCTAGCATAGAATCAGAACTCACATGGACCGCCTTTGTGGATCCCGGAAATACTTTTGAGCGAATTCCAGCATTGTATACTGATGACTGGGGAGTAGAGATGCCCCATAGACCTCCTGCCCAAACTCCCTGGAGATGTCCCTAGCCATGGAGGCCTGTAGGGACAAGGGAAAGATGGAGACTGGGGGAAAACATCTAAGGGACAAAAACATCTAGTTCTAGATAAAAATATGAGTTCTAGGGAGTACTGAGTGAACCAAGAGCCAGCGTAGAGCACTGGGTTTGGAATTAGGAGACTTTAATCTCAGCTCTCCCACTAACAAACTGTGTGACCTTGGACAAGTAGTTTCACATCCCTGGGCCTCAGTTTCCTCATATGCAGAACAAAGATGTTGAAATAGACTAGATCTAACATTCTCATAGTCTAGGAATGGGGGATAAGAATGGGCAGTGGGACAGATTCTTCCTTCCAATGGCTGAGGGGGCTGGACTTGCCTTCTCTTCCCTTGGACAATGCCCATCTGCTAACAGAAACCCTCCCTGCCATTAGCCTTCCAGGTCTTCAAGATCTTTGAGATGGAATCATCACCTCTGTCTTCCTGCCAAACTCCTGGGCCACAGTTGAAGAAGCCACTGCTATAGCCACAGCGGCTGCTCTTCCTGACTGGTCCCGAGGCCCACCTATGTCCAGCTCTGAGGGCAGCTGGAGGAAGTCAGGGGCAGCTACAGGTTGTACCAGGTCCATGGGGAATCGGCCAGGCCTCCCGTGGATGGCTCCAAACTTCCATCCTGTGCGGATTAGGCAAAGGAAAGGGGCTCAGAGAACATTCCACAGATTTACCTCATCCCTTCTCCAATATCAGATGGCCTACCTGAAATGAGTTTATATTTCTTATGCATATATTTTGTGTTGACTGGTATGTTCGCATACTTCCCTGATAGCAATATAGAAACAACAAATGAGGTGAAAAGCACTATATAAATGTAAGCTGTTATTATATCATCATTATTCATATTTAAGGATGGAAACTTTCATTTTCATCTCTGCATCCCCAATGTCTGGGGATATAGACACTATACAGGCAGCTAGATGGCTCAGCGTATCATGGTTGGGCCTAGAGTCAGGAAGACCCAAGTTTAAATGTGTCCTCAGGCATTCACTAGCTGTGTGACCCTCGGCAAGTCATGTCACCCTGTTTGCCTCAGTTTCCTCATCTGTCAAATGAGCTGGAGAAAGAAATGGCAAACTACTCTAGTATCTATGCCAAGAAACCCTCAAATGAGGTCACAGAGAGTTAGCCATGAGAAATGACTCAGCAACCACAAAATTGTTACCATTATTATTCCTATTTAAGGGTAGAAACTTTCATTTTCATCTCTGTATTCCTAGTGTTTAACATAGTACCTGGGAATGAATAAATGGAGATGAGAGGGCTCAAGGTCTGTGTTCCCTTGAGAAGTAGGTGCAGGCTGAGGACAGGAGCTTCAGGGGATAGATACTTAGATGAATGCCTCCCTGTTTTTTCTTTTTTCTCCCTGTTTCCTCCCTCACTTCACCCCCACCTCCATTAAGGGACAAAAGGCTAACAATCTAGTATGATAGTGAGTGCAATCAGGAAGAAACTCTAGAGGTCTGGCTTCTAACCCCTGACTCTTAAGCCATATTTTCTCAAAATTATTCAGTCTATGACACTTGGAATCTACTGGAATCCATCAAGGGGATCAAAATTATAAGCAATCCAATGGGCAAAAAAGATCTGGGGTGTGTGGGGGTGTTTCAATAGGCTGCAAAGATTTCTTTCCCTGGGGAAGAACAAAACCCCTCATTAGTCTTTTCCATTGTAGGGAAGATAATTGACTCAATATTGGAGTGAACCTTGAGGCAGAGCTGACCTGGATGGTGATTGCAGGATTAGCATTTCAAAAATGCTCATCTCTCTAAGGTCAGCCTGCCTCCGGGATTCTATTGAACTCTTCCTGGACCATCATCCCCCTTTACCTCTTGCTCAGGGGTTGATAATTAAATCAACATTACCACTGCTTCTCTGAAGAATATGATCATCTCCTACCCTAGGACTCCACTCAGAATCCCTATAATTTTTGAGCTAGGCTGTCTAGGCTGAAGCTTCCTTTCCTGACCACTCCACCTTCCCTCATATCCATCCACGTGAGCTCCCATCCGTCCAGCATCCTTATCCCACCATCCACCATCTTTCCATGTTGTCCTCTGGAATCCCTGTTCTGTTAACAAACTGCCCTTCATATTAAATCTGTGCCCTGCCCTGGAGATAAATCATTTTGCTTTCATTTTGTATTAACTTCTATGTGTATACATATTCATTCCTCCCAATAGAATGCAAGCTCTTCGATGTCACGGATTGTTTCATTTCGTCTTTGTATATATTATTCCCCATCCTGCACCTGGTGGTCCAAACTGTCCTTATTACTTTTCCTAACAGTCTGTCTTCCCACTCTTCGGCTGGAACACACTCCCTCTCTCTTCACTTCTGCCTTTTCCCTTAAGACCCAGCTTAAGCATTGCCTTTCCGGATGTACAGCTTCTACTGCCTCCCCTCCCCCAATCACCTTATATTTATGGATGTCAACAAAATAGGTAAATGAACATTGCTAGTGCTAACTATTAAAAAAAAAAGAATCAAAAAAAGGCTTCTGGCCTTTTGGTAGATCCTCTGTGAAGGAGTGAGTGGGACCGAGAAAATAATCTTGATCTAGAAAGGATCTGCCCCAATGCAGTGAACACTCACACTGTGATGAGATCACAGAGCCATCTACAAAGACAAACGCTTCAGAAAGACATACTTAAAGAGAAAGGAACATACCTAGAGATACATAAAGTCTGTCTTTCTTTCTTTCTTTCTTTCTTTCTTTCTTTCTTTCTTTCTTTCTTTCTTTCTTTCTTTCTTTCTTTTCCTTCCTTCCTTCCTTCCTTCCTTCCTTCCTTCCTTCCTTCCTTCCTTCCTTCCTTCCTTCCTTCCTTTCCTTTCTTCCTTCCTTCTTTCTTTTCAAAAGGACCTGTACTTTCATTGGATTTAGGGAACTCCTAGACAGGAACTTCTACCAATGCAAATCAATACCTGCTCTGCAACTTATATTCTTTCTCTCTCTCTCTCTCTCTCTCTCTCTCTCTCTCCCTCACTCCCATGTGTCCCTTTCTCTGTCTTCCCATGTATGTTTCTAACCCCACGTGTTTCTGTTTTTGTCTGTCTCTCTCTTTTCATGAGTCTTTGTCTATGTCTCTCTCCCCTCATATGTCTGTGTGTGTGTGTGTGTGTGTGTGTGTGTGTGTGTGTGTGTATTGATACATAGATAGATAGCTATAGAAAGACTTTCAGGCCAGTTTCCCTTCTTCTCCCTCCCTTTCCCCTAACCTTCCCCTCCCCAACTCCCATATACACGCATGCTTGTGTGTGTATATGTGTGTGTAGCCTTGATAGGCTCAGGAATTCTGATCTGTTCCATTACTGACCTGCTTTTCCTTTCCCCTCCCCCTTGTTCCTGGAGGCTCACCCTATCGGTACCAGACTAAAGTTCAGATAACCAATTGGCTACTACAGCTCAGAACTCCCAGCCTCAAGAGATCTCCCCTAGCAGCAGGGATTATAGGCCTTTGCCACCATGCTGAACAACTTACAGCCTTAAAGAGCTGCCCCTAGGTGATGTAGCCACTAGGGTACTGGCTCTGAAATCAGGAGGACCTGAGTTCAAATAATGCCTCAGACACTTGACACTAGCTGTGTGACCCTGGGCAAGTCACTTAACCCCAATTTCCAACAACAACAATAAGAACAACAAAAAGAGCTGCCTAGAGGGTTGGCTGAGAGACAACATTATTTGCCCAGAATCACACAGCCAGTAGGCGTCAGAGGCAGAATCTGAACCCAGATCTTCTTGACCCACTGCCTCTATGACACATGTAAAGGTAGAGAAGCATATATACAAACACATATAAACACTCCAAGATGAACACACAGACATGTGCACATATGCGCAGAGAGAGTCCTAGAAAGACAGACACTCAGAGATACAAAGAGACATGTAAAGGACTGTATACACAGACACAGAGAACGAGCAATCAAAGCAATACCCACACAAGGGCTGGCCCTTCCTCTGGGCTCAGCCAAACTTGTCCCTTAATGGGACCACAGAGAGGCCAAGGGTAACATGGGGCCAGCCGCCGGCCAAGGATGCCCAGGCTCAGGTACAGCTCTTTTCCTTCCTGTGTGAGCCTCAACTAGCCCCTTAGCTCCTCTAGGCTTCTGTTGTGGAATAAATGACCTTTAAAGTCTCTTCCAGTCCTAAATCCTGTGATTCTACATGCCAGGATTTCTTCAGAATCCTATACTGCACCTCTCAACACTGTCTGCCCTGGGGCAGCAGAAACAGGGACCTAAGGAAACCAATTCATGTATGTGTATGTACACACATGTGTGTATATCTATACATGTATGTACATACTTGCACGCGCGCGTGCGCGCGCGCACACACACACACACACACACACACACACACAACACACACACACACACAGTCTTCTTCCTAGTACCTACCAAAGTCCTGGGTGCCCCTCTTCAGCTCCTCCAGGTAGATAACCTTCTTCCTGACTACATAGCCATAATTGTAGCCTAGGAGGCACAGGTAGGAAAGATGAGAGGCAGAGAGATGTTGTCAACTCATGGTCCTTGAGTTTTCCCATCCACCCCTGCTACCCACACCGAGTCATGGTCTAAGGGCTGGTAGAGTTACGGCTTTTTGCTATTGAGCAAAGCTTAAGCATTGTAGCAGCCAGAAAAAAAATAGGGTCTGGTCATGAGAAGTGTGGATGAGGCTCAATAAACATTGACAAATGAAGACAGCCATATAGTAAGTCACATGCCATCTATGGTGGTTTGGGGTGAGGAAATTAAGAGGTCAAGAAGCTTAGGGGTATTGTGCATGCAGGGATCTGTGGGCATGTGAAGGTGTGAGGCAGGGAAGGGCAATGTCTTGAGATAATCACTGGTCTGGCATTCACTAGCTCCTGGGATTACAGCTCCTCCTTGGTGCTGAGTTGGGCTTTGGTTGGGGCCCCACATCAGACACTGACCCCTCTCGGGCCACTCTGAAGATTGCAAATGGATGATGTCACCCTTGTGGAAGCTCAAGAGATTCGGGTCATCCGGCAGGTAGTTTCTCACAGCAACCACGTAATCAGAATCCTAAGGCACAGAAGAGTTTGGGGACGTTGACATCCAATGGACAGAAGTCCACCATTTATATGCAGAAAGCTTCCATACTCATGGACTACAATCCAGTTTCTTCCTCAGTGGTTCTCTTGCCCCTAGGGAACCAAGGACCCTTCCAGGCACATATATACCTTTATTCTTTTTGGCTCTGATCTGTGAGTTCTTTGAGGTAGGAAACTCCTGGTGGGAAAACTCCCTTTCCCAATATAGATGGCAAATTCCCTGTGATTTATAGTCAAAGAGTTGCCTAGAGGCACTGAGATATTAAGTGACTTGTTCATAGTTACAGAGCCAGTGTCAGAAGCAAGACTTGAACTCAGGTTTTCCTGACTTCAGCTCTGGTTTCTATCCATTACTCCCATGATGCTTCTGACCCAGACTCATACACACATATGTATGTGTATACTTATTCACATGTATAGAGATGTCTATATGTGTGCATATATACATACATAGATTTATAGATATGAACATGTATATATAGGCATATCTCAACAAACACTCCCATACCCTAATACTTCCCCCACACATGGGTATTTTCTAAACACCCAGACTTAGACAAACACATAAGAATTCACAGACAACCCATATCTCAATATATACGAAATTAATCTTCACTGCTACTTCCCTTGCACGCCACAGTGATACTTCTATTTATACAACAATCACTGTCCAAACACATATACACACATTAACTCCAACAGCAGGAATTGGACAGCTATTTGTTGTTTGTCCTTCATTCTCAAAGAGGACAATGACATCAGGGAGGTGATGCCAAGACTTATAGGTGAATTGGATTTAAGTGAGGCAGGGCTGTGCAAAGTCACCAGCCTCACTTTCTCCTCTGGAGCCATCTGGGTCCAGTGGCCAGATAGAGATCAGGACGACTGGAGATGGCTGCTGGACATTATGTGGATTGTGAAGATGGAGAAAGCAATGCCCCTTGTCCTAAGGCAGGGGTGGGGAAGCTGCCACCAGAAGGCCACATATGGCCTTCTAGGTCCTTAAATGGTCTAAGTGTGTAAAATTTAGGTTCAGTCAAAAAGGCACATTTAAGGATCTAGAAGGCCATATGTGGCCTTAAGGCGGCAGCTTCCCTACCCCTGCCCTAAGGGAATTACCCTTCCCCCTAGACTATGTTCCTTACTCCCTAGTTTCTTACCTTTTTGAGTTCCAGAATAAAGTCATCCACCATGCTTTTCACCTGAGGAGCTCGGGCTGAGAAAAGAATGAGTTTCTCACTGGCCAGGTTGAATTCCAGCATGTTCATGGAAGGGATGGTCACAAAAAGGATGTCTGTATAGCTGGAAAGGAGAGGAGCAGGGCCATGTGAGGTCCACGTGAGGAGCTCTTGTGCCCAGATCCTTCCTCAGGTGACGGAAGGGCTGTGAATTGACAATTGATGATAAACTGAGAGTCTTATGCATTTATGCATATCTGCAGATTACATATACTTGGACCAAAGAAATACCTCCTCTCAGTCCTGTTCCTGAACCCATCTCATATCCCCTGATGCAGTTAGAAGAAATGACTCCTCTCTGACTTGCTCCAAAAAGCCTAGAGACATCTTCCACCTTCCCAGTTTCTGGCTGTAGTCTCAGTGGAAGATGAAAGGTTGAAAGGTACATATGGGAGAAGGGGGAGGGGGTGGGCAGAGTTTTGTGCCAGCCACAGGCTAGAATAGAAGGCTATTAGTATAATTCCAAATCATGTGCCTAATATTGGCATAAGACCAACAGAGAGATCCTTGAGACAAGGGGAGGGGAGGAAGAAAAGACTGTCCCTGGTTTATTCCTCATGGAAAGACGGTACCAGCATAACCAGGGAACAACCTATTTTTTTTCTTTTTTAAAAAATTTTCTTTTTAAAAATTTATTTATTTTTAGTTTTCAACATTAACTTCTATAAGATTGTGAGTTCTAAATTTCCCCCCTCCCCAAGATGGCACATAATCTGATATAGATTACATCTGTACAATCATATTAAACATATTTCCACATTAGTCATGTGGAACAACCTCTTTAATACTGTTTAATCTGGGAGAGATCTGTTTTGTTTGATGGTGTCAAACTGTGCCAAAGAAATAAAGGCCTGGTTCCTTTAAGAAAAAAATAGGTGGCAAAATGGTCCAAAAACAGAGTGGTGGTGATGAGAGGGATCACCAAAGGTGTTGCCTTTTAAGAGGGACCCTCAGAAACGAGAACGCACCAAAGCTGGAAATCCCTGAAAACCTAATATGGAGCTCTCAGAAGTCCTAATGAAGGCATTTACACCTGAGCTCCAAATAGCTGCTGAGTATACAGGCTATGAGAAAGGAGCCAGAAGCTTGAAAAGTCATCGTGGACAACCCAGATGTGGGGAGAAATGTAAACAGAACAACATTTAGAGAAATGGGAATAAGTAACAGTTAAGTGAAGTATAAACTGTAGTTTGTACTTAGGGGATCTTGGTTCATTTAATCATTACCCTAACTGGGCTGTCTTATGATCTGAAAGTCAAAAGTCAAAGTAACCCATTTATGTGATGTAATCTAAATAGACTTTAAAAAAATAAAAGGTGAGCGATAGTTCATTATTTAAGGAAAAGCTACATTGGAGAAGAAATGAAAGGCCCTAACCCTGTCCACATACTCAAATTGCATGTTTATTTTTAATATAATATCATGAATCTATTTGCATGACTATTATCCAAATCCTGGTTTCTTTTTACAAGATCTAATTCATTGGATTACTTCTTTTTTTTTTTATTAATTTATTTTGATTTATTACAATCACTTCCATAAGCTTTTGAATTTTAAATTTTTCTCCCCCTTCCTCCCCAAGATGGTACACAATCTGATATAGACTATACACATACATTCTTATTAAACATATTTTCACATTAGTGATGCTGGATTACTTATTCTTCTGAACAAAGGGCATGTTTGGGGAACTTCATAGCAGTCCTAAACTGACTTAGGTTTGAAATCCCTGCTTTACTGGACTTGTCCTGAGATCTCAAACATTATACATATATACATACATATATATATATATGCATACATATAGATAGATAGATAGATAGATAGATAGATAGATAGATAGATAGATAATAATTAGCAAAGCTTTGCAAAGCACTTTACAAATATTGACTCATTTTGTCTCCACAACAACCCTGGGAGATAGGTACTATTATTATCCCCATTTTGCAGATGAGAAAACTGAAGCAGACAAACATTAAGTGATTTAAATGCCCAGGGTCACCCTGGTAGTAAGTGTCTGGAGCGAAATTTGAATTTGGGTCATTCCTGACTCCAGGTCCAGCACTCTATCCACTTGTGCCACCTGGCTGTGATGGAAAGGTCACCTCTCTTCTTCCAGCTCAGCCCCTTACCAAATGCTTGTCCTTACTTAACGCACAGGGCTTCCATCCCATTGATTGCCTGTTACCTGTAACTCCGTAAGACCCGAAGCTGTTCCCCTGATGACCAACTGCCCTTTACCAAGCGAAGGAGCTTGATGCCTACATGAGACACAGCCAGGATCTGTACGCCTGTGCCCACACTGCCCTGCAGAGGAATGATACTGAATAGGTTCAAGAGCCTGGGGCAGCATGAACAGCAGGGACGAGATGTGGGCCACGGGAAGAGGGAACCAAGAAAACGGGGTCAAGGTGGGGAGGAACACATCTCAGCCTGTCCGTAGTGCCCAGGGACTCTTCTTCACCTGCCCTGGCCCCTCCTTTTCCTTCACCCTCTGCCCTTCTCCATTCTCTTCCTAGGAAGCAAGAGAATCCTGGTCCCCCAAGACAGGTCTCAGGGGTGTCTATCCACTGTCCTCTTCTCTTAGGGGAACAGGCACCTGCCTGGCCAGCTGAGAAGAGACCACCCCCATGCCTTCCACCTTTTGGGAATGAAGGGAAAAGCCCTTGGCCAGGGTCCCCTCAGAGATCTTCGGAGCCTTCCCCACTTCTGTGCAGGGGCCCATCTCATCCTCGCAGGAGGGGGAAGAAAGAGAAGCATCTCACCGTAGCTGGGAAGAGTCGGGAGAAATAGACTTCCCAGCCCTCTCGAGCTTCGCTGACCACTGCCCTCTTGATACTCTCATTCACCACCGGATGCAGTGAATCCAACTTGTTCTCGACTAAGAGAAGTAGAGTCCCGAACATCGTTTTCCCTTCCTCCCTCTCACTCCTTTCATCTCTAAGAGATAAACTCCCTGAACATGAGATCTGGAAGAGGTCTCAGTGTTCAATTAAACCACCTTTTCGCATTTTACAGATATAGAAACTGAGGCCCAGAAAAAGGCAGTGACCTCTCCAGACCTCTAGCCCTGCAGAGCTAGGGCTAGAACCAGGTCTCTCAACTCTCCAGATTAGAGTTGTTTCCACTGACTATTAATTGGATGCTTTTCCCACTAGACCACCATAGTCCCCCTAGGGCTTTCTTCTAGGGGACTGAATCCCAAGACTTGACTTTACCTAGGAGGGGCTTAGACAGGTCAGATAAACTTAGGGCAGTCCTGTGTATAATGCATCTAAGATACAGTGATTTGAGGAAAAGGAAGATATGTACGTGGACCCTTTAAAACTGAGATAAAAGAGAATGGGGTTATGTTTGGCTACAATAATGTAAATATTGTGCCCCAGCAGGGACACTGAGCCTTGGTAAAAAGAAGAGGGGATGGTCTCAAGGGACTTTGACTGGATTTTGGATTAGAGGTCATTTAACACCTAGTCCCAGACCCAACTCTAGGCTGGGCTCTCAGGAGCAAACGGGAGGGGTTTCAGGCCCCAGGCCTTCAATGCTCTGATCTACCCACCCACAACCCCACCCCATACCCCTACTACCAAAGATGGATTTCATCTTCATCCTCTCTTCCTTGGAGATTCTGATGCAGGATTCAGAGAAGGTGTCATGGAGGATCTGAGGGGAGAGGGTCAAGGCATACTGAGGGGTGCTCTGCCCCCTAATAGTCCCAGTCTATGATATCCCAGCACTGCCATCATCCCAAGATCCAGGCAGACAGATCTGGCAATGCCAGGCAGAGAGGACTTGATGTGGCAAGTCTGGATTTCTAAATTTGTCAAGTCATTCAATAAACATTTATTAAGTGCCTCCTATGTGACAGGCACTTTGCAGTTCTATGAAGAATGGACCTTCCAGATGACCACGCTCCTGGGGATCTGGGATTTATTTTAGGAAGGAGTGGTAGTAGGGCAGAGAGAGCACTAGAGAAAGTCTTTACAGGAAGGGAATGCTGTTCTCCTGAGATAGGTCTCAGGGGTACCTATCCAGCATGCTCTTCTCTTAGGGGAATAGGTCTGTCTGGCCAGCTGAGAAGAGACCATCCCCATGCCCGCCACCTTTGGGAAATAAAAGGAAGAGCCCTCAGCTGGGATTCCCTCAGAGATCTTCCTTCTGCTATGGGGGCTGCAGGAGCCTGGGGTCTCACCTGTCTGAAGAGGAGGTCCAGGAGGACTGGGTGATTGTAGCTGTCCTTGGGGTAAAACACCTATAGAAGGAGAGTCTCACAGGAAGGTGCTGGGGCTCCTGACCCACATACCCACTCCACCTTGTCTCCTGCCCCACTACTTTATTCCTCCCATCCCTTCTAAGGAGATTTCTAAGGGCTGACAGCCTCCGACCTCACCAGGGACCACTGAACCCCCATGACACCAGGAGATTAGAGGAAAGGGCCCCTCCTAGTTATGCCATGGACAAGTCAAACTAGTGGCATCCCATCCCTCCAGGACAGGGTGGAAGGAGGGGCCCGGATGCCAATCCTTCCCAATGGACCCAAGTTCTCCATGCACCCATACTAGCTAGCTTCCTCCTCACCACCTGAGTGTTTGGTCATGGAGGCTGGCAAACAAAATCCAGAAGATCCCATGAAGTAGAAGTGGGAATGAAGGGGGAATGGTGGTGGAATGAAGGACAAGGAAAGAGAAGAAAATAAGGTATAGGAGAGAAGGGGAAGGGGAAAGAATTAAGAAAGGGGAGCTCTACAGAAAAATAAGCTTTTTTATTTAATAAATATTTGACTGTAGCATGTGTAAAACCTTGCACTATAAGAAGCAGTTCATGCCTAGTATTCATAAAGCACTGCTTCTTTCAAAAATATTCCTTGATTTATTATTTTTTTTTCCTCTGGCAACTACTTTTTAAAAATTTTACAATTAGGGAAAGTGAGGTCCAAAGAAGGGAAGTAAGTGGCCCAGGGTCATACTAATGGTGGATCCAAGACTTAAAGCTACATCTTCCTAGAGAGACTTGGGGCAGTCTCTAGTCCTCTGTCCCCTGGCTTTAGAAAAAGAAATCCCCTCCCCAGCCAGTCCTACCCAGGGCTGAGCATACATAAAGGCTGGGCACCTCTTTTCGGAGGTATATCTTCCAGGGCACTCCCTGGTAGCTGTAGAAGGTCTCATTGCTCTGCCGGTGGAGCTGTGTTTGGATGGGGTCCTCCTCTGGAACAAGTGCCCGAGAGACTGGTATTAAAAGGATGAGACAGGTGAGGTTGAGGGGGAAAGTTAGGAACCCTGGGTGCCACATCCTGTTCAGCCCTGTTGGCTCTCTGACCCATTGTGCATCCCAGATCAACAGTGGTCCTTGAGGGGCTGGTTGGTTCTCCACTGAAGGACCTTGGGTAGGCAGGGTGACACACAGCCTGAGCCCTCTAGGGTACATTTTCCTAATCTACCTCAGCTGTAGCACAATCATGCTAGCTAGGGTAAACGGTAAAACACCACAAACCACCCTCCCAGACCCCCAAGATTCTCTTCCTCTATCATCTTCTCCCTTTCAACCATTCACTGAGCCAACCAGGTGGTTCACACCTGATACCAGAGCCAATGTATAATAGTGGGAGAAAGGCTAATGTTTGGTGTGAACCAGATACCAAAGATCAACCCTAGGGAGTGTGAACACACTGCCCATATCCTGATTGCCTCCGGATTGATCTGGTGAATTGCACAGTCCATCATGAGGAAGTTATTCTAACAACACAAATGGCAAATTAGTGTGTATGGAAGGGAAGGAAAGAGATGAGAGGGAGAATAGGAAAGGATGAAACTCTACATGAGGGTGAGGAGACTCCCAGGTTTCATGCTTGGGTGAATGGGAAGATAAATGGTGAATTTGGGTTTTGATAATTTTAGTTTTAGGTGCTGATGAGAAACCAAGTGGACAATTTCTAGAATGGTAATTACAGATTTTTCACCTAGAGCAAACAGAGTTAAGTGGGGATTGGAAGGGCATCGAAAAAGACAGTCTGAGGGTAGTCCTAATAGCTAGCACTTAAATAACACTTTAAGGTTTATAAAGCATGTTACACATCATCTCGTTTGACCCTCACAACTACTTGTGAAATAGGTGCTATTATTATTCCCATTTTCCAGAGGAGGAAACTGAGGCTGAGAGAGGGTTAAGTGACTTGTCTAGGGTCACCTTGCTAGTAAGTATCTGAGACATGATCTGAATTCAGGTCTTCCTAATGCCAATCTAATACTCCATCCACTGAGCCATCTGGCCCTGGACCCTGAAAGGGCTGGGGAAAAGGTAGGTGGGTGATACATTCCACAAGCCCACAGAAGGCCACAAGATGTCACCATGGGGAAGAGGTTGGCACCCTATGGCAAAGTTCCATTTACCTTGTGCTGTGGAAATAGCCAATACGCAGGCAGAGTATAGGATCAGGTAAGATGTGGAGAAAGGGTAGATGGGGAGAGAGAAGCAGAAGACCCAGGAATGAACCTTGGGAGATAAATGACCATAATTAAGTGGGAGTGGGGCTGAGGAGGGGGAGAGGAGGGATAAAGGCAGCAAAGAAAGCAAAAATGAAGTGGTAGAAGTCAGAGAGGTAGCAGGAGATGAAGGATAATGTACTGTTGAAGATAAGGGAGTGGAGGGTTTCAGGAAGTCAGTAGTCTCCAATGCCAGAGTTTAAGAAGGGTAAGTACTAGGACACCAGATAGAGTCCTGGACTTGGAATCAGGAAGACCTGAGTTCAAATCCAGCCTCAGGCACTTAGTAGCCGTGTGACCCTGGGCAAGTCACTTAACCTGTTCACTTCAGTTTCATCCTCTGTCAAATGGAGACAATAATAATATCTACTTCCCCTCCCCCTTACCTGAGGGAGCGTTTAGAGTTGTCCTGGAGGCTGAAGTTAGATGTTTGGCAGCAGGGGTTAGGCCCTGGGGCCTAGGGCTGGTCACAGGCTTCACCAAGGCCACGGTCTGTCTTGGACCTTGACTTCCCTAACCCAGGAGAGAGAATCAGAGAGAGTATGAAGCGTGTGTGGGGCCAGTGGGTGAGGCCACAGAGAAGGGGGAGAGGAGGCTGTTCATCTGGGCCAGGCAGCCAACCCCTGGTTATGGGGTTAAAGCCAAAGGCCTTTTAACATGGGGTCAAGGAATTTCTCCAGGGCTCCAGTCATTCCTTTACTAATTCTCCAAGATTAATTGAGCCCTCTCTTATTCTATGTAATGCTCCTGTGTTCTCTATGTGTGTGTGTATGTGTGTGTGTGTGTGTGTGTGTGTGTGTGTGTATAAATGCATTATAGACTGCTTTCCATTTTCCAAAGCACTTTCACATCTATTGTGAACTTGAATTTCACAATAGCATTGTGAAGGAGTCAGAGAAGAAATTGTTAGTTGTCCCCATTTTACAGATGAAGAAACTGAGGCCCAGTCACTTCACTCTATATGGCAAGCCAAGTGAAAACCTTTCATAGTATTTACTTGCACCTATATGTGTGTATGTGTGTGTGTAGAGGAAATGTATGGCTCACTATCCCCACTTTCACCATACCCAAGGAGGTGTGGAGGAGACCTAGACCTTAGGTGAATGCCCCAATGGATAAGGAACTTTCCAGGAGGAGGAGCTGGGGACAATGGGATTGACCACTACCAGGTTGATGGGGGCCGAGTGGGTCATTTGCTCCTTCAGGATCAGGAGGGCCTCTTCATGAGGATCTGATTTCTTCACAAACACCTTCCCACTTTCCTTCCTAGGCAGATGGAAGATGGGGAAAGTTAGGGCAGAGCTGCCTGAGGGAAGGAGCCTATGAGACCTCTGGATGCCTAGGGGCAAGCCAAGAGACGTTTCCATCACCAGGACAGTCTGGGCATGGGGATAGTGTAGATAATGCTTACTTAGCATGTAGTAGGAAAATAGTAGGCGCTTAATAAATGCCTGTTGACTTGACTTGATGTGACAATGTCATTGAGAGTGAAGGAGACCATGCTGTACTAGGCCTTTGCAGAGGTTTGGGATGAGGAGCCTGACTGAGCTCTTGAACACCAACCCTGCATCCTGGCTTTGTAGGCACGGACTTTGAGGAAAGTCACCCATGTTCTAGACCTAATTTTTCCCTCTCTCCTCATTCCCTTACATTGTTAATGACTAAAACTGACTTAACCTTCCCTCCTCCCAATCAAGGAGGTATTTATAAATACCCCCCAATCAGGGGTATTTATATCTTAAAAGAGGATCCTGGAAAGGGCTGTGCGTAAGCAAGAGAAATAAATAACAAATAATGCAATCTGAGGTAATGTTTCTGATCAGGTGGCCACCTACTTTACCGGTGGTTAAGGGTGGCCTTATAAAAGGGACTTGGAAGCAGGGTTCTAACCTGAGACCATCTGGAGCTCTGGGTGGTTGCTGGCACTGGCGGATTATGGTCTTGATCTGTTGGGTGGGCTGAGGGAAATGCTCCGAGTTGAGGATGGAATGACGTACAAGCTCTGGGGAGGGCGAGACTGGTGGGGAAAGGGGCACTTTTCAGGTGATGAAGGTGTCATGCAGACTAACTATTTCTACCTCCCAGGGAACCCTCTGAAGTTGGGGGAGATTTCTCCCAAAAGCTAAGCAAAGAAGGGCTGAAGGGGAGAGTGGGCAGGAAGAAATGGGACACCTAGAATAAAAGTACTCACAGGTTCTTAGAGGAGAATGTTGGTCCCGTACCCGGATAGGGGTGGCCACAGGTTTAATAGGGGGGATGGAGCCCTTAGTCTTCAAGGGAGATCCAGATACTAAGGCCTTGGGCTGGAAGCCAACTCCTCCAGGGTCTCCCAGAGCTGGGGCTGCATAGATTAGCACTGGCTTGGCAGGTGGACTTCTGCTCTTGGCCTTTAGAGGGACATCTGCCCCTACTGGCTTCTGCCAAAGAGGAAGAAAACCCTGGTGAGGTCTGGACCCATCTCTGGCCCATGAAAAAGGAGCAATCACTCCCAACATGGCATCTGAGCTGGAGCAGTAATCTTTCTGAGCTCTAGAGAGCATTCCCTAAGCCCTCTATCGTAATGGGGCATGGGATGATAAAGACTGTCTCCATGTTCCAGATGAGCAAACAGATCCCAAACCACATGGTCAGCAGCCCATGCCAGAGCCACCAGTCTGGCTTCTCTCTGTTCCTCTGATAGCCTTCTCTCTCCTCCCCACCCCCCAATATAATCTCTCCCTGCTTTTATCTGTTACTTTTAGTTCCGTCCTCTCTAGCCATTGCATCTTCTGCAGGTGTAGAGCATGTTTGTGTCCCACCCTCCAATACCTTCTCTCAGGGCCAGACTCACTTTGGGGGGCAGGGGCTGGGGGGAGGATTCCAGGGGAGCTGAGGAAGCTCCAGCAGAGGGGACCGGATCTCTCAACTGCTGCTGCTGCTGCTGCTGCTGCTGCTGCTGCTGCTGCTGGAGGGCCATGGCCTGAAGAGTCATCTCTCGAGCCTTTGTGGGAGAGAAGAAAGAAGGAATTGGCTGAGGAGAAGAGGAGAAAGAAGAGGAGAAATCTCCTTCCTCCCAGGAAACTCATTGCCTCAGCCTCCATTTCCCCTCTGATCCACCTTCACTGCCCTCTTCTGTCAATTGAAGAAACAGGACCCCAATTAGAAAAGGGGACCAAACAGATCATCTCCTTTGGGATTTTCCTTCACTCCTCTATGTTCAACCATTTGGGGCCAGCTCCTCACAGTTAGTGAGTGTGTTTCTGGGTCTGGGTGCTGCCTTCTTTCTCCTAAGCTCACCAGAGACAGAGGGTTTTCAGAATACATTGTGGTAGGTTTGACCAAGAGGAGCCGCTCAAAATTTCATCAGAGTGGATACTCCTTCCACCAGGGCAGATTGCGACCCATCCACACCTTCTCATTCTGTGCAGCACTTGTCTGTGTCCTTCCACAAAACCTTCACAAAGGATTGGCCCAGTGTGTTGGAGCCCTTCCTCTTGGTGTTTTAATATTTCTTAGATATCATTGGAACACCATGCAAACCTTTAATACACAAGGCACTGAGCTAGGCACTAAGGATACAAAGGCAGAAAGGAAACAGCCCCTGCTTTAAAGGGGCCTCCATTCTTCTGGGGAGATATACCATATATATATATATATATATATACATATGTGTGTGTATATATATATATGTACACGTATGTGTGTGTATATATATATATAAACTATATATATGAACATAGAGTGTTAATAGAGATAACATAGTGTTAGTAACTGGGGGAAGAAATCAGGGAAGGCTTCATGTAAGAGGGGGGGCATGAGAGTTGAGCCTTAAAGGAAGTGAGAAATTCCAAGAAGCTAAGCCTCAGTCCAGGGAATGAGGCCAGGGAACAGGCCAGAGCATAGAGTGAGTGAAGAGCAATAATATGAAATCATTGCAAATGTAAATGGGAGACAGGATGTGGTGGGCTTTCAATGTCAAGCTAAGGAGTTCACATTTTATCCTAAAGTTAAATTGATCTTCTCTCTGCTCCTTAAATATGATACCTTATCTTTTGTCTTTGAACTGCCTATCTGGGGCAGCTAGGTGGCACAGCGGATAGAGCTCTGGGTCTGGAGTCAGGAAGACTCATCTTCCCAAATTCAAATCTGGCCTCAGATACTTACTAGCTATGTGACCCTAGGCAAGTCACTTAATCCCATTTGCCTCAGTTTCTTATCTGTCAAACGAGCTGGAGAATGAAATAGCACACCCTAGAGGGTCTTTGCCAAGGAAACCCCATATGGGGTCACACAGAGTCAGACATGACTGAAATGACTCAACAGTAAAAAATGCATGAGTGGAGGGAAGGGAGCAGATGGGAGGGCTATTATGGAGACAGGATCAAGGTTTAGTTATTCAGATTCAAGAGAGCAATTTGGAACTATGCCCAAAGAGCTACAAAAATGTGCATACCCTTTGACCCAACAATAGCACTCCTAGGGCTGTATCCCAAAGAGATCACACAAATGGGAAAAGGACCTACATGTACAAAAATATTTATAGCAGCTCTTTTTGTTGTGACCAAGAATTGGAAATTGGGGGGATGTTCATCAGTTGGGGAAATGGCCGAACAAGTTGTGCTATATGGATGTAATGGAATATTATTGTGCTATAAGAAATGATGAGTAGGTGGACTTCAGAAAAACCTGGAAAGATTTGGATGAACTGATGCTGCATGAAGTGAGCAGAACCAGCAGAACACTGTACACAGACTAACTTTGATAGACTTAGCTCTTCTCAGGTATGCAATGATCTAAGTCAATTCCAAAAGGCTCATGATGGAAAATGCTATCCACATCCAGAAAAAGAACTATGGAGTTTGAATGCAGATTGAAGCATACTATTTGCTCTTTTTTTTCTTCTGTTTTGTTTCTTCTTTCTTGTGGTTCCTCCCATTGGTTCTAATTCTTCTTTAAAACATGAGTAATGTGAAAATATGTTTAATATGAATGTATATGAGCTGTTTGGGGAGAGGAGAAAATTTAGAACTCAAAATCTTATGGAAGTGGATGTTGAAAATTAAAACTAAATTACTTAATAAAAAATAAAAATTAAAAAAAGGAATCATTGTTTAAAAAAAGATTTGGTTGTTAGTTGATATGTAGTGGAAGGAGAGAGAAGAGTAGAAGATGATCCTGCCAGTGTAAATCTGAGTGATCTGAAGGTTGGTGGTACCCTCAAAAGGAACAAGGAAGTTTGGAGGAAGGATGAATTTAAAGGAAAAATAGAATTCTGTTTTAGACATTTTGAGGTGCTTATGGAACATCCAGTTAAAAATGTACACTAGGTCCTTCGTGATGTGGGACTGAATTTCAGGGGAGGGTTTGAGGCTGCATATATGGACTTGGTAGTCATCTTCATGGAGATGATAATTGAACTCATGGAAGTTGGTGAGATCATCAAGAAAGAGAGTGTAGACTCTATACAGGGTTGGGGAACATGTGACCCTCTAGGTCCTCAAGTGTGGCCCTTTTGGATTTGGATTCAGTCAAAGGGCCACACTTGAGGACCTAGAGGGCCATGTGAGGCCTCAAGGCCGTAGGTTCCCCACCCCTGGTGGAGAAAAGAGAAGACAGCTCAGGACAGGGCCTTGAGGAGCACCCATGTTTATCGGATCAAATGAGATAATATTTATGAAGTGCTTAGCAAAGTACAGTAGGCACCTAAAAAATGCTTGTTCTTTCCTCATGCTTCCCCCTCATGAAACATTTAACATGCAGTGGGTATGAGATAGATGAAGATCCACCAAAGGAAAATTAGGTGCAGTTAGGCAGGTAGAAAGAAAACTCAGGAGAGCACCAGCACGTAAACTGAGAAGGAAGAGGACGTCCAGGGAGAAGGGGACGTTGATAGTGCTAAGGGCTACACAGAGATCAAGTCTTAGGAGGGCTAAGAAAAGGCTACCAGGGTTAGCAGTCAATCAATAGATGGCCACCATGAATTAGCCATATTTGCAAAGCTTCTCCCACTTTGCTAAGTGACCACCCCAGGGAAATAATCACCTGAACCTCTTGCAACTTTCCAATGTTCCTTCCCCACCCGATCCAGTTCCTTCCCCACCAGTGAGGGTGAAGGAACTTCCCCACAGGCCCCCAAAGTGAATAGTTCTGAGGCAGAGGGGTGTGTACTCACCAGAAGCATGGCCTGCTTGTGGATGAAGGCTTGCTGCAGCGCCAACGTGGAGGGGTCCAGGCCTGGGACTACAGAGTACAGGCTCAGTGAGGCCCCAGGATTGGGAAAGATTGGGGGTTAGGGAACAGCTGGGAACAGCTGGAGAGAGTGGGTGGTGGTGTCAGGTGATGACCAACGGGATTCAGGGATGCCAGGAACAAGGGGATCAGGGAAAATGAGGTAGGGGGTTATCTGGGGCATAGGAGTCAGAATCGGCTAGATCGGGGGTCATGGAGAGCAAGGAGTAGCTGGGACTGGATTCTGGTGGGCAGCTGGGGCCACTTGAATCGATGATGTGGGGGCAAAGGGAAGCTAGGATCAGGAATATGAAGGTCAAGAGTGCTGGGTCAAGGAGGAGGGAAAGGTTGAAGAACTTCCTGCTATACACCCCTGAACTCCATCCCAATAGCCAACCTTCCTTCTTCCCGTTTCTGGGGCTCAGTTATCAATTCCCCCCACCCCCACCCCAGCTTAATGGGGATGAATAGTTATGAAGGGAAAAGTGGAAGCAGAGGAAAGGTTGGGAAGGGGAAGGAACAAGGGTAGGAGGAAGGTAGGGAGGAAGGGAGAAGGAGTCAGCCCATATGGCAAGGAGGGGATGCCAGAGAGATTATGCTGAGGCCCCAGCACCTGCTGTAGAGTTCTATGTCCTACCCTATGCCCCTCTTCCCAGATCCCTAAGGCTGGGGCTTCATGATGTGGAGGTTCAATGAGGGCTCTGACCTACCTCTACCTGAATATGAGGGAACCCAGGGAAAACTAAGTCTGGTGCTGGCTAGATTTGGGAGTGGGAAGAGGGTGGAGTGAATAAGTAGGAGGTACTACTGACCTGGTTCTTGGGGTATTCCAGGGGGCCCAGCTGGATCGTCATCACCTTTGGGTTGACCTCCCCCTTTCATCCTATAAGAAATAGCAGTTGGCTTCTCCAGATCCTAAAAACGGGGCAAAAGATTTGGTGCACTAGGTCAGAGGTCAGGCAGCAGGGACTGAGGCCCTAATCCCTTTCCCCCAGCATCCCAATAATCTTATCTGTGGTAAGAGAATGGTGTCAGATGATGGGCATTGTGGGCTGGTGCTGATGGGGGTTCCCAAGGCAATTCACTAGCCCTGAAAAGGGGAGGCATTACCCACATGGAGCCATCTCCTCCTGGAAAGAAGGACTGAGCTGGACCAGTGACCTATGTATGTCTCTAAAGAGAGAATTAGGGGAAAGGGGCATAATATGGGTACCAAGGCTTAGCAGGAAGCAGTCTACTTTTCCTCTAGCATGCCAAGTTACATTGTGAGCCTAGAGGGAATTGGCAAGAGTCTCTGAACACAGAGGATAATGAACATCAAGGGATAGGCTCATCTATCACCAAGGAGGACTCTAGGTAGAGGAGGCCTCTTAGGCATGGGAATGTAAAATAGTCTGAAACTGGGGTGGGGCTAGGGGGTAGTGGTGTTCTGAACTGTGTCCTTAGTGTGAATGTAGCACAGAGTAACAGCCTGATGTCACTGAGGGGTTGAAAGGCTGAAGGATGGGGAATGGGGAAAATGACTTAAAGGGTGTGGTGTGTGTAGTGTGTGTGTGTGTGTGTGTGTGTTACAGTGTACATTTCTTCATGTGTGAGAGTATTCCAGAGGCTCTGTGTGCCATGAGGTGTCTACATATGACGGTGTTTCCTTTGCTCACCACCCCCTTCCAATTATGGAACCATGAATCACGATCAAGTCGGGTATGCCAAGCTACTCCCCTCTGATTCCACTCACTGTTTCCAATTTCCCCTCCCCAGCCACCACTTCCTTCTGTGTATTGTTTCCTCCATTAGAACACAAGCTCCTTAAGATCTTTCGGTCTTTGCTTTTGGATCTGTATCTCCAGAACTTAAGGCCAAGCCACAGGACTTGGCATACAGTGAGTGCTTAATAAATGCTTTCCCTTTCATTCACATGCATGTGATGGTGCTAGAGCAGTGCAGTGGATAGAGAGTTTGACTTGGAGTCAGGAAGATTTGGGTTCAAATTCCACTGTAAACACTACTAGTTGACCCTGGTCAAGTCACTTTCTGAACCTCAGTTTCTTCAGTCTGTAAAATCTGCAAAATTTTGAGCAGCTGCTTCTCAGGGTTGTGAGGATTAAATGAGATAATGTATGTGAAGCACTGTGAAAACTTTAAAGGGTTGCTATTAGAGTCGGTGTGTTTGTGTTCTAGGTTTCTGCATGTTCACCTGAGCTGTTTCTCATCTCCCTACCCCTGCACTCCATGCCTGCCCATCACCCCCTCCCTGAAGGCCAGGGCTGGGCTGCATACCGTGTTTCCATAGGCAAGCACAGGGTCAAAGAGGCTATCCAGGTAACGATCCAATCCCTTCTGTGGGGCAGCCGGCTCCCTGGAGCTCTCTGAGTCTGCTGAGAAGATGCAGGGGCAGTGGTAACATGGGATCCAGCCCTGCTAAGGGAGCCTCCCCACCGGATGCCACGGCAGGCTGGGGCTGAGACAGGAGAGTGATTCTTACCAAGCTGGGGAACAGGCTGGTTTGGGGTTAGAGCTAGCACCAACCCCTTTCCCTCCGGCCACCTGCTTGTAGGCAACATAGACCTAGGTTTGACTTGGATCTGACATAGACTCATTATACAAGTTACTGAAGTGGAAACATGATGCATTGGAAAAGACCATGGAAGTGAAGTCTGAGGACCTGGGTTTGAATCTTGACTTCCTATCTATGCAGCCTTGGACAGGTCACTTCCCTATCTTGGCCTCAGTTTCCTCATCTGTTAAATGAGAGTCTTAAACTACATGATCTCTAAAGTTTTATTCTAGCTCTAAAACCCATTAAGCCTCCCTGAACCTCAGTTTCCCTAAATGTGAAATGGGGATAATAATCACTGCTTTAGATCCCTCACAGAGTTGTTGTGAAGATCCATCATACATAAGCTATGTGATACTATAATGTGAAGAATAACCCAAGAGGGGAGGGAAGAAACCTCCATGAGGGTTCCTGAGCCTCAGTTTGCCTAAATGTGAAATGGGGATAATAATCACCACTTTAGATGCCTCGCAGAGTTGTTGTGAGGATCCATCATACATAAGCTATGTGATACTATAATGTGAAGACTAACCCACGAGGGGAGGGGAAAAAACCCTCCATGAGGGGTCCTGAGCCTCAGTTTGCCTAAATGTGAAATGGGGATAATAATCAGCTTTAGATCCCTCGCAGAGTTGTTGTGACGCTATAATGTGAAGGATAACCCAAGAGAGAAAGGGAACGGACCCTTCCTGAGAGGTCAGGAGTGTCCAGAGGGAACCAAATGGTGGTCATGGGGCTTTAGAGTGATGGTTGTGGGACTTACCGTGACTGAAATAACCATCTGAGTCAGGAAGTTTTGTTGTCCGAATGGAGCGCCTTCTGTGCAGGGGAAGGGCAGGGGTCTCCTCATCAGAGTCCCAGTTGTTTCCAAACACCCTGTGGGGACACAAGGAATTTCCTAGCTGGCTCTGTGTTTCTCCACCTATCCTTAGGATTCAGGATTTGCCGCAGGACTATATCACCAAATATGTCCTACAGGAGGGTGACCCAGGCTCTTTTTCCGAAGTAGACTTTGACTGGACAGCATCCCTGGAGGTCACCACTCCACCCCCTTAGTATTTGGAATTTCCCAGAAAGGGCTTGCTCATTTAAAAGGTAAGGATTCTCTCTGAGCTCTGCGTTGTTAACATCCTAGAACCATTATCCCCACCTGCCCAGGACTCAAGGTGAACAAAAGTCAGTTGTACTGCGCTGCCCCACCCACCCCCACCTCCCAATGGTGGCAGCGGATGGGAAAAAACCCCCAAAACGTCAAGCAGTGTGTGAGGAAGGGTCAGACTGTGTGTGATGGAGGCGAGGGGGTAAATTAGCTACCTACATTCGGGCGCTGCTCCTGCCCTTCTCTGCCCCCTCAGAGGTGATGATAAAGTAGGATTTCTGCTTCGGGAAGTCCCAGATAAGCTCCATGTCTGAGATCAGATCCAGGACGTAATCGTGGCCCGCCAACTCAGCCCACTGGCTACCGTTCTTCAGGGAGACCGTCCAGCCCCTCCAACCATCGGTTAGCCCCCTAAGGATGTCAGGAGCTCAGGGTTTGGGAAAGTAGAAAATGTCAGCGTGCTCTCTGCTCCCAATTCATACTGCACAGAGGTAGCCCACGAGGGTAGTCCTTTTAGCGTGAGAGAGGGCTCCTCCCTCCTGGAGGGCAGGGACTGATTGCCTTATTATTATCATTATTATTATTATTATTATTATTATTATTATTATTTATTATTATTATTATTATTAGGTATCCTCAGCATTTAGCCGAGTTTCTGGCACACAGTAGGTGCTTAATGAGTGCTTGTTGCCATGCTGACTTTTCTAAAGACACTAGTACAGAAGGCAGTATAGTACAGTTGAATTGCTTTGCTCTTGGCTTTGGTATGACTTGGCTCTGACACTTAGTAGTAACTTGGAAAAATCACAACTTCTATGAGGTTCAGTTTTCTCATATCTAAAAGAGGGATGATACTAATTGTACTACCAGCCTCACGTGGTTGTGAATGCTTTGTAAATCCTCACGTACCCTCCCTCTCTTCTTTGCAGAGGTAGGGGGACTATGGGTGTGGAAAATTGCATATACTATAATTTGTTATCATTGAATCGTTTAAATTGTGTCTGACTCTTCATGACCCCATTTTGGAGTTTTTTTGGCAAAGATCCTGGAATGGTTTGCCATTCCCTTCTCCAGATCATTTTACAAATGAGAAAACTAAGGCTAACAGGGTTAAGTGACTTGCCCAGGGTCACATAGCTAGTAAATGTCTGAGGCAGGATTTGAACTCAAGAAGGTAAGTCCTCCTGATTCCAAGTTCTACCCAGTGCATGACCTACCTGCCCCCACACTACAATTAGTTTTGCTGGACTCATTTTTTTTTGTCTTGTCATTATTGTTACAAGTGAGGATTCATTATATAGGGGAAGAAGGAGAAAATGAAGGTGTTGTAAAAACAAAATGCAAGGTCTCCCAAAGTCTCAGTGCTATTTTAAGCTATTAAAGCTAAACTGAGACTTTTGGGACATCCTGTATAGCAATGGTTTTTTCCCCCAAAAAAATCCTTTATGCACTATAGAAATGTGGGCTTTTATTATTATCTGGCTGTATAGGGAACTAATCGGCCAAATCAGATTTGAAATAAGATTGCCTTTTTTGTCTTCCTTTTCAATTTTTTGTTACAAAGGATGATTCACTGGGTAAGGAGAGAAGGGGGATAGGTTCAGAAATGAAAGTGTTGGAAAAACAAAACACAGGGTGCCCCAAAAGTCTCAGTGCTCTTTAAAGCCTTAATAGCTTAAGACTTTTGGGACACCCTGCATATCATTGGTTCCCCCCAAAAAAAACCCCTTTTATGAATTTTATAAATGTAAGGTTTTATTAATATCTGGCTGCATAGGGAACTCATCAATCAAAGAGAATTTGAAAGAGACATGTACAGCATATAGAAGCAAAGACAGATACTGTAGGCAACCGGGGATGAATACAAGAAGGGCACAGGTCTTTGAAGAATAATGAATGACCTAAAGAACAGAAGAGCTGAGGCTGCTGGGGAATGGGCCGGATTGTTAGCAAAGGACTTTTAAAGCTATCTAGGGGGAAATGTGAAGATCAAATGAAGAAAAGGATCCCTGCTGGGGATGGTTGGAACCATAATAAAGGACAATGGAGAGGAGGGAGAATCACTCGACTGTGATGATGTGTCTCTTTTCCCCACCAAGGACAATGATCTTCGAACTGGAAAGGATGCAACAAAAATGGTTAACAGGCACCTGAATCCTATGCTAGGTAAGGAGCTAGTCAGGAAGGACCTGATTATCCTTAAGGAGTTCACAGTAGGCCCAGGTACTAGCTCTCAGGGTACTGAAGTAATCTGGAGGTGCAGATGTTGAGTTACTTGCTAACAGAAATCTTTGAAAAATCATGGAGAGTGGGAGAGATGCTCCAGGACAGGGAAAGGGAAATACATCTTCTCTAAAAAGGGAAAGATAGAAAGTGGATTCTTTCAACTATAATAGACCACTGAGCTTGTCTTCAATTCTTGGCAACGTTCTCCAGGTTCATTCAAGGGATGTCTCTTTGGACTTGGAAAGTATGAAACCCATGAATCAACAAGGGTCATGTTACCACTGGACAAGACCATGGAATTTGGAATCTGAGGACCTGGGTTTGAATCCTGACTTATTTACTACCTGTGTGGCCATTTCTTATCTGTAAAATGAGGTTCTTGGACTACATCCAGATTAATCTCAGCTTCCCTGTTGGTGGGACTATGAGGCTGGCAGATCAAGGGAATTACATACATATAATATGACTGGATTTTATCAAAGAGTTTAATAATGTCTTATGGTACCTTCTTAGACAACACGAAAACATGTTAATGGTAGTCCAATTAGGTGAATTTGGAATTGGCCAACTCCAGAGGCCACATGTGACCGGTCCTCAGGTGTGGCCCTTTGAATCCAAACTTTATAGAACAAGTCCCCTTAATAAAAGGATTTGTTCTCTGACGTTTGGATTCAGTCAAAGGGCCACACTTAAGGACCTAGAGGGCCACATGTGGCCTCGAGGACACAGGTTCCCCACCTCTGGTCCAGACCCAAACAGGAATATTTAATGGATCAGTAACAATCTAGAGAGAGATTTCTAAAACCGTGCAGAGGGTTTTTGTCTTTGGCTCTATGCTAAGTCATTATTTTGATCAATGACTTGAATGAAAGCATAAGAGAAAACACTTTTAAAATCTGCCTAAGATACAGAACTAGGATGGATAGATAATATCTTGAGTAACAAAATGGAATCCAAAACAATTTAAATAGTCTGAAACAGTGGGACAAATCTAGTAAGGTGAGATCATATTTATACTCACACACACTATAGAAATGTGAGTTTTTATTATTACCTGACTTACAGAGAGAACTTGTCAGCCAGATAGACAGACAGACAGACAGACAGACAGACAGACAGATAGATAGATAGATAGATAGATAGATAGATAGATAGATAGATACATAAGACAGTCACCTCCACACCACAATAAGGCATCAGAGTTGGGCTTTAGCAGTGTATTTACATACATCTATAGATGTAAATATGTATGAATATGTATATACACATGTATACATGCATATATGTATATAGTAGTAGGGTCCAAAATGACCTAGTGTGATGAATTTTGAGAGGAGCATACCAATTCACAAAGACTAAAGTTTTTAGAGGCCTCGAGGTGATGCTATGGAGAGAATGCTGGTCTCTGAAATATGAGTTCAAAGATTGAGTTGGGAAGACCCGAGTTCAAATTCAGCCTCAGAAACTTATTAGCTGTGTGATCCTGGGCGAATCATTTAACCTCTATCTGCCTTATTCTCTTCAACTGAGGATACTAATAGTGCCTACCTCCCAGGTTGTGTGAGGACCAAATAAGATAGTAATATGCATAATAAATACCTGTTCTCCTCCTCCTCCCATTTATAGAGAGGGACTGCTGTCTGCATCAACAGAGAGGGTACCTATTCTGATGAAACTACAGATCCTTGAAGTATAAATGTAAAGTCTACACTTAGGTTAACAAAAAATATAAATGCATAGGTCCAGGGCAGGGGATGTATAGGCTAGACAATACGTCGTATGAAAAAGACCTGGAGCATTTAGTGGACCACAAGATGAATAGAAATCAACAATGTGAAATGGCAGTGAAAAAAGAACCTTCATTCATAGGCTTCATTAATAGAAGTAAAATGTTTAGAACAAGGGGGCATGAATCTTGCTATACACTGCTCTGATCAGACAACCTTTGGAGTATTATTAGACCATCACATTTTAGGAAGGGCATTGACAAGCTGGCCTGAATACCAGGAAGGCAACCAGTATTGTGAAGAATCTGGCAACCATGTCATGTGAGGATTGCCTGAAGAAACTGGAGACATTTAGCTTGGAAAAGAAAAGACTTAGGGCAGGAATTCCTTTTTGTGTCTTGGATCCCACTGACAGTCTGGTGAAGCCTGTGGACCTCTTCTCAGAACAGTGTTTTTAAATGCACAAAATGAAATACATAGGATTAAGAAGGAAATCAATTCTATTGAAATCCAGTTATCAAAAAACTAAATACAAAAAATAGAAGTTCTTAGATCCCAGTCTAAAAGCCCCTGACTTAGTGGGAATATTATTGCTGTATTCAAATATTTGAAGACATATGACGTGGAAGAGAAATTTAACTTTTTTTGTTTGCATCTAGAAGGCAGAAGCAAGAACAAGGGATAGAAACTTCAGGGAGGTAAATTGTAGGTTAGCTATAAGGAAACACTAATGGAGCTTTTCAAAAATGAAAGGGGTTTCTCTGCAAAGTAATGAGTTTCCATCTCTGGAAATTTTCAAGTGGAGTCTGAATGACCACTTTTTTGAGGATATTATAGAGGTATCATGCTTCAGGTAATGTTGGACCAGATGACTTTGGGATTCCTTCCAAGTCTATAATTTTATGATCCATACCTGTGTTTCAGAATGTCTCCAGTCACATCCTCTCCTGTGCTCCATGAATGGATTGGGCAAGAAAACTGGTCCCCTAGAAAGCCAATGGGTTGGTTATTGGATCCTACTCAGAAACGAGATTTCAAATTTACCAGGTGCTACCAATCTTCTCACCTAAGGATTCGCACACCATCTCTTCCTTTCCATTCATTCTACCATCACCCCATTTCATAGCCTCTTTATCTTTTTCTTGGACCGTTGAGACAGCCTCCTAATTGGCCTGTCTCCATATTTCCCATTTTCAGTTCACTCTGCACAGTTGTTGCTGTATTTTCCTTTAAACATGCTTTTGGTTCCCTGCTTAGAAGCCTTCATTGCTGGCAGAACAAAGCCTAAGTCCTCATTCTGGTATTCAGAGCCTTCCATAATCACCCATATTCACCTTTCTTCTCTAATCATATCTGTCACTTCTCTCCTGCACAAACTCTTTGCTCTAGCTGGTTTGATCCTTCATGTAAGATATGAATTATTGTTTCTGTTTTTAACTCACACCATTCTCCTGGCTTGGAATGCTCTATCCTTCCCTCTCTTATTATCTATATTGGGGGCCATTTCCAGTTGTTCTGATCTATATCTTATCACTGGACCCAGATGGCTCTAGAGGAGAAAGTGAGTCTGGTGACTTTGCACAGCCCTCGCTCACTTAAATGCAATTAGTGTGCAAGTCATGGCATCACCTTCCTGATGTCATGGTCCTCTTCGAGAGTGAGGGACAAACAACAATATTATGTTCATCCTTTGAGGCCAAAATCAAATCCATACAGCCTTCCTTGATCACTGTTCTCTAACCTTCATTGCACTACTTCCTGGACTAGTTAATTTCAAATTCATCACATCCTATCTAGTGATAGCTCTGTATTCTTAGTTAACTTTTCTTGTGTAAGTCTTAGGAGTGTGAGTCCAAGAAAAGAGTCATCCTCTACTCTTGTATCTCCCATCCCCATGACCAACCAGAGGGTGGGGAGTAGGAAAAGGGCCAGGCACTGCCTGACTCAAATCTTTGGGCCTTTGGGTCTGATATTGAGAAGAGAACACCAGGCTAGGCAGGATATCTAGATTTTAGTCTTTGTTCTGGCACCAACTGTGTGACCTTGGACAAATCTCTTTGCCTTTCTGGGCCACAGTTTCCTCTTCTGTAAAATGAGTAGGTTTTATTAGTGACCAATGATGATACTTCATACATTCCAGAATTCTACTTATCTGTAAACTCTTACAGAATTATCTCCCATCTCCCTCCCTCCTTCCCCTTCTTCAACCACCTCCCTCCCCCGACTCACCATTAAAGCAGTGGACATCTAACGCCATGTTGGCCTTCTTTTGAGTAACTGTCCATTCAAGTAGGGTTGGAGGGAAGGTTCGGGCTGCTCCAGGACCCTTCTGGGCTTTGGCCATGGCCTGTATGAGTCTGTGCTGACACATAGCCTGGAAGCCATTGTGGGCATAATCAGAGACAAACCTGGTGAGGGTCAGAGGATAAGCAGACTTCAGGGACAAGGGAGAACACAGAAGAAATCTTGCACCATCCTTCTTATTATCATAAGAAGAATAAATAGTTTCCAGCTAATGAAGGTTATGTTCTAATAAGGCAAGGTTTTCAGGCTGGCCCAAAGTCAGTTGTTTAGAACATGGAAATCATCTTTTCCTAGAAATAAGGCAAGGTTTCCAGACTAACCTCTAAAACCTTATTTTGTCTATGGTATACCTAAGTTCATGGAAAGTATATTTCTAGGTCTAACTACAGACACCTTTGTAGTATATTCTGGGTCAAGATGGAAGAGGATGGGTACAACTTGCTCATGCTTGCTCTATATCTATATGTAGCCCCTGGTTCAAATGTCTATCTAACAGAAAATACAGATGTTATCATTGTAGCTCTAAGAGCCAGATGAAAATTCAAATGGAATGTTAAGAAAAGCAATTTGTGTTGGCTGTTTAAGTAGTCAGTTGAGAAAATGCTAAGAACGTCTTCCTAAGGAGAAAGGGAGAAGATGAACGTGTATTATCAATGATCTATGAGCATTGATGAAGAATCTGTGGAGGAGGCAGATAGGAAGGAGGTGAGGAGAAACTTCTTCCTCGTGGGAACGATTTTAACTAGGTTGTCCACAAAGGAACTTCATCATGACAATTTTATGAAGAGTTTGTGAGGGACTAGTAAGTACAGCAAATTTCTGAGGAGAAGACAGGAAAAGGACTAATATTGAGGAGAAATGTTAAAACGATTGTCAAAAGACTAATCGGTATCTGGAATTAACTGAATAATGTAAGACCAAATTTCCAGACAAGTAAAGAAGAATTGACTATTGTTATTTGGGGGGCAGTTGGGTGGCATAGTCTATAGAGCACTGGGTTGGGAATCAGAAAGACTTATCTTCATGAGTTCAAATCTGGCCTCAGACACTCACTAACTGTGTGAACCTGGGCAAATTACTTCACCCTGTTTGCCTCAGTTTACTCAACAGTCAAATGAGCTGGAGAAGGAAATGGAGAATCACTCTAGTATCTTTGCCAAGAAAACCCCAAATGGGGTCACAAAGAGTCTGATTCAACAACAAAAATTTTTAGGATTTGAAGTGACTTGGGCTGTGACGTTGATCATAACCAAAAATGTTGTAAATATATTTGATGTTTAATATTGATAAATATTAATAAATCATACATATTCATTCAGTAATATTAATATTTGCTTACTTATAGATAAATAAGTAATTACTATTGGTAAGTAGACATTTTTTTCCATTTCACTAAATAATTAATATTTAATGAATTTGGGTGAGGCCTAGAGCTACTAATGAATGGAAAAGACTGAAAGTTTATTAAAGAAGAATAAATTATCATGATATGCCCCTAGATCACTATAGATCTTGGGAAGATAAAACTAAATATATAGTAATGAATCCAGTGACAAGGTGAGGCTGGTTGATTTGGTCAGCTTTGGATTTAGTCAGACTCCAGATCTTATATCCTTACTTCACTTTGTTGGAGTTGGGAAACGGTGTTGTGCCTTCTCACAATATGCTACATATAAGACAGGTGCTTCTTTATCTTTTTACATCTGCACAAGAGGTTCTATTCTTTCTCTCTCTATTTACATTGGGAAACAAAGAGAAGTTTCTGGAGAAGAGGTGGAGACAAAAAGTCCTAAGATTTTTCTTTTCTTTTTTGGCTAGGCAATGGGGTTAAGTGACTCGTCCAGAGTCACACAGCTACTGTTATGTGTCTGAGGCTGGATTTGAACTCAGGTCCTCCTGACTTCAGGGCTAGTGCTCTATCCACTGCGCCACCTAGCTGCCCCTCTAAGATTTTTCTTGCTCATTCCTATGTATGGGTCATTCCCAGAGCCCAAAACATTCATTTAGACATCGTAGGTAAGGTTTAAAAACTGGGCCCTGTGTATGCTACAGTCTTCCAGTAACACATACAATTTGATTTATTACAAAAGAAATGCCGGTAACCATTTGCAGCAATACAAGGATCTAAGACAACTCCAAACACCTCGTGATGGAAAATGCTATCCACATCCAAAGAAAGAACTATGGAATTTGAATGCAGATCGAAGCATGCTATTTTTTTCTCTTCTGTTGAGTTTTGTTTCCTCTTTCTGGTGGTTCCTCCTATTGGTTCTAATTTTTACTCACAACATCACTAATCTGAAAATATGTTTAATAAGAACATATATATCTCTCTATATCTATATATCTATATCCTATATCAGATTGTGTGTCATCTTGGGGAGGGTGGTGGGGAGGAAGAAAGAGAAAAATTTTAAATTCAAAAGCATATGGAAGTGATTGTTGATAAATCGAAATAAATTAATTAATAAAAAAGAAAAGAAATGTCAGTCTGACAGGGAGAGCTGAATTTCTTGGCATCAAACAATTTAATGTAGCCCAAGTGCCTCTGGGACAAGAAGAAATGCATGATGGGAATTGAAGTCCATGAATGGAATAAAATCTATCACATTGAAAAGACAAAAAAATGCATGCCAGAACCCCAAGGGGAGGGTGCTGAGCTGAAGTGGCTAGGAGGGAGTTTGGGGTTCAGTTTTGGGGAGGAGCACAGCCCTAGGAGCAGCTGCTTCCCAGGCACACCAACACGAAGACAAACAGAGGACAGGTACACGGAAACAAGCAGACACAGATGGGGCAGTGGGTGGCAATGTCCTCGTTTCCCCAGGATTTAACAAGCTGAGCAGTGAGACCTCCCCCTACCCTCGGCAACACTCAGCTAGGGAGAAGCCGGGTAAGCAGCCTCAGTGCAGCCTCAGCTTTATGTAAGGGAATTCAGATTGAGAACATCAGGTTCCTTTTAAGAACTGAGTGGAACTGCAGGAAGACTTATTATAAGCTTTCTTTTTCACTTTCTCCTCCCTTTTCAGTTTTAAAGGGCAGATATTTAAATCCTAAGTCTGTACTCATTCTAAGCTGTTTTCTCCTTCAATTCCCCTGTTTAAAAAAAATATGGTTTTTCTCTAAATAGAGTTAAAATTTTATCTCAATTTCCCCCCCCCCCCATGTATGTAACTGAGTAGAGAGAATGTGGATTGTGGGAAGCCATTAAAAAATCAAGGATCCTCATTTCTGACATGGTGACCATGTCATGGTCATTCTAATCTGGGTGCAAGATTTTTAGATACTTTAATTTCATTTGTATTTTATTGTTGTTGTTCAGTTGTTTCAGTCGTGTCCGACTCTTTGTGACCCCGTTTAGGGTTTTCTTGGCAAAGATACTGGATTGGTTTGCCATTTCCTTCTCTAGCTCATTTGACAGATGAGGAAACTGAGGTAACCAGGGTTAAGTGACTTGTCAAGAGTCACACTTGTTGAGAGGAAGTGTCTGAGGATGGATTTGAAGTCAAGTCCTCCCGACTCCAAGGGCTGGCACTGTATCTACTGTGCTATGTAGCTACCTCTCATATTATTATATTAATAATCTATATTTTAAAACTCTGTGTAAAAAGAAAACCACGTGGATCTGGGCAAACTGTGCCTCTAGAGCTCAGATTTAGCCTGAGTTCTTTGCAATAGTCTGGGTTGCTCAGACATCAGCTACCCTCCAAAGGGAGAAACGAAGGTATGACCAGAGGGAAGGTGACAGCTGAAGCTGAGCCCATGGATGGACACAGGCATGGTCTGGGAGGAATGGGCCCTCCTATTCCCGGAAGGAAGAGAAAAAAGTCCTTTTTAACCAACTTTGCCCTCCACAGAGACACCTGGTTACATTTATAAAAAGTAATATTTTAAATTGCCATCCTGCTCATTATACCCAAGGCAGCTGTCTACCTCTTCTACCACTACTTCTGTCCTGTTCATTCCGAAATTGAGTGTAAATTGGGGATTGTCTATATATGTGCTACAGAGAATTGAAGATGAGGCTGACTCATTATATTCTCCATCCAATGTGGTCTGGTAATCCAAAGATTTTTTTTTTCTAAAGGCCTCTAGGAACCAAGGACAGCACGGACCCCAACACCAATTTTATAAAGGACCTCTAAGGTAGATTGTGCCATGATTTTGAATAATAAGTCACCAGGCACTCTCAAAAACTTTCTATTGTTCCATGATGAAGTGGATAGAGTACTGAGCCTGGAATCAGGAAGAGTTTTATTAACTGTGTGACTCTGAGCAAGTCACTTAACTTCTATCTGCTTCAGTTTCCCCAACTGTAAAGTGGGGATAATAACAGCATTGACCTCCACGGGTGATTGTGAGAATCAAATGAGGTAGTATTTGTAAAGTATTTAGCACTGTGTCTGGCACAGAGTAAACACTTAATAAATATTTGTTCTCTTTTCTTGCCCCTTCTTTAATACCTTCAGGATAAAGTCTAAATCTCTTAGCCTAGTATTCAGTAGTCTGGGTCCAATCTACCTTCCTAACTGTACCCCCTGCTAACCATCTCTGCCACTAACACCATTAAACCTATGTGGATAGGGCACACAGTGAACCAGAGTTATCCTGAATTCCCTATGTATGACAATTGTTCAGACAGTCCCCACCTTATAAACGCTGCACCTTCCTTTCCTTTCCTTCCTGCCTTTTCTCCTCTTCAAACTGGATGAGTAGACAGCTTGCCAGGGCTCCTTATGCCGCTTATGTCCCTTCCTCAACCCCTAGCTCTCAGGTTCTGTGCCACACAGAAATGAAGCTGCACTGCTCTTTGTTTAGGAAAAGGATTCAAATCCTTACACACACACACACACACACACACACACACACACACACACACACACACACACACGCAAATTTTTGTGCTAAGTCATCCACTTTTTCAATAATATTCTTCATGTCAAAAAACATTCATTTATGAATTAGTGGGCCAGAATTAGATTTCAGCATGAGTACCAGACTGAGTTCAGTGTATGCGGCTGGGGTTGGGGCTCAGTGTGTGGTTGGGGTTAGGGCTCAGTTTGTGGTTAAGGTCAAGATCCACTTGTGGCTAGGATTAGGGCTCACTTATGACTAGAATGTAGAATAAAGTTAAGGACCCACTGCTCTAACCAATCTGAAAACAGGCTGAAGAGGAAACATTGCAAGCAGTAGCACTTAGTGAAAAGTAAGTGCTCATTGTGAACTCACCCAACCATTCTGGAGAGCAATTTGAACAATGCCCATAGGGCTATAAAACTATGCATACCTTTTGCTCTGGTAATACCATTGTTAGGCCAATATCCCAAAGACATCCAAAAAAGAGAAAAGGACCTATTTATACAAAAATATTTATAGCAGCTCTTTTTGTGGTGGCTAAGCATTGGAAATCAAAGGGATGCCCTTCAATCGAGGAATGGCTATACAAGCTGTGGTATATGATTGTAGTGGAATAATATTGTGCTATAAGAAATGACAAGCAGGATGATTTTAGAAAAACCTGTAAAGACTTACATGAACTGATGCATAGTGAAATGAACAGAACCAGGAGAATGTTTTACATAGTAACAGCAATATTGTATGATGAAGAATTGTGAATGACTTAGCTATTCTCCCCAATACAATGATCTAAGACAATCCCAAAGGACTAATGATGGAAGTATACTATCTGCCTGTAGAGAAAGAACTGATATTGATTGAATACAGACCAAAGCATGCTATTTTTTACTTTCTTTCTTTCATTTTTTTCTTTTATTCAAGTCGTCTTGTACAAAATGACTAATATAGAAATGTTTTACATAATTGCACATGTATAACTTATATTTAATTGTTTACCTTCTCAGGGAGAGGGGAGGGAAGGGAGGAATAGAATTTGGAACTCAAAACTTTAAATAAAAATGTTAAAAAATTGGAAAATAAAATATTCAGATAAATGTAAAAAAAAAAAAAAGTAAGTGCTCAAAGCAATGTTTACTGATCAATGGCCTAGTGATTTGCTAGTCAGCCCCTAGATGGCAATCAACAGTAATATGTGCTTCTGTGTAAGATCCTAAATTGCCATGAAATAATCCCTTTGTGCTTCATGGGGTGCTGTATCTATGTCCTACTGGTTGGAGCCTCAGACTTCCCAGACCCCTACTCACTTGAGCAAATACTTGTCCAGGCGAGGCGAGGGTGCAAAACCACTGAGGCAGGAGGCCAACAGGAGCCAACCACGTTCCTTGTTGCTGACGTTGGGGTTCCGCCACACCTGATTGGCCAGCTGGACCAGGATCTCATCCCTCAGCTCAGCCTTTGTGAGCCCCTTCTGGACAATATAATTCCCAAACAGGTTGTCCTGAGCTCCGTGGAGGTGGGGATCACCCATGAAGCGTAGAATCTATAATTATTGTGAAAACCAGACACAGAGAAGTCCTCTATGACCCCAGTAAAAATAAATACCTCCTAGTCCCTTCTACTGGCATAGAAGGCCTTCATGTAAAAATTACCCTGTTCAAGTTTATGCCAAATAATTCCCTTCTTTGCTCAAGAGTTTCCTCTGGCCAGTGCCCCACTATAGGATGCTGTTCATATTTCTTAGTGTGGCATTCAAGGCTCTTCGGTACTAGCCTGCCTTTCATAGGATTCTAGCTAGACTTAAGAGGTACAAGGGACCTCCTTGAAGGGAAGCTATTCTTCCTGGTCTTATTTTCCACTGCTCCCTCCTATATGGCCCTTCTGTTCCTCTTTTCCCTATGCTGTTGCCCCTCCCTGAGGTATCCTCCCTCCTAATTGCAGTCTTCCACATTTATCAGGTTCTTATTATTCAAATGGCATTATATCTGATTAAGGGTCAGAGCAGTTGCTGATTTGCATTGATGGGGAGGAGGCACTCCTCCCCAGAGAGAACTTTACCTTGGTGAAATCAAAGGTCTGGTCAGAAAAGAAAAAGTGCCTTGTGCACAGCATACTCATGCCATGGTTATTGCTTCACTCCCTCAAAAATCTCTAATTTTGTTGCATCGGACACTCCCTCTACTTATACAGATTGCAACTCCTCATACCTTAATATCACAGATCATAGAGTCTAAAAGCTGGAAGGGACCTCAAGGGTCATCTAGTCTGACCTATACTGAGCAAGAATCCCTTCTACCTGCCCAAAAAGGGTTCACCTAAACTATGCTCCAAGACCTCCAGGGGGGGATGCCCACTTTCTCCAAAGGCAATCCACGCATGTCGCTTTGAGAAAGCTCTAAGCAATAAGTTTTTCCTGACATCAAGCCTCAATGTGACTTCCTGAAATCTCCATCCTCTGGGGCTAAGCAGCCCTGTGTAATCCTTCCTCTGTATAATGGCCCTTCAAATGCTTGAGACTAGGTAATATGTCTCCTCTGGGTCTCTGTTTCTCTATTTCCCTCAGCCTACCTTCATAAGGCATGTTCTCCAGGCCTCCCTCCACCCTGGTCATGTTTTAATTTATCTCTGCTGCTGCCAGCCCCTGAGGGACAATGGAGATCTCAAAATTAAGTTCTCCTGAGCTCTAGGGAGTTCATCGCCCTGTTATCAAACTGTTGATGAGCCTGCCTACACTAAAATGAGCTATACTGGGTTTTCGAAGTAGACATTGAGTTCATCACCAGGCCTATACTCAAAGTCACCCATGAAGTATAGAATCTATATCCATTGTAATAACAGACCCAGGTCATAGAAATGGCTGGTGCTATTTACACAGTGCTTAAGGTTTGTAAAACACTTTTCAAATATTAGCTGATTTGATTCTCTCAACAATTCTGGGAGGTAGGTTCTATTATTATCCCCATTTTATAGATGAGAAAACTGAGACAGACAGAGGTTAAGTGACTTGCCCAGTTTCACATAGATGGTTAGAAATGTTAAAAAGTGGATTCTTATTCAACCTTCTGAAAGCCCTTCGAGATCTGTAGCTCTTACATTCTATTTTATGTTTTTCTGTATTATCCATCCCTCTTGACACAGAGATAGGTCCAGAGTAGTTGCTAAATGCATGAAATGAATGCATTCTACGTGAATGGTTGTGTTTCTGTATTGATTGCTGCTATTCAGTCCTGTTTGACTCATCATGACCCCATTTGGGGTTTTCTTGGCAAAGATACTTGGCAAAGAGTAGTTTGCCATTCTTTTCTCCACCTCATTTTACAGATGAAGAACTAAGGCAAACAGGGTTAAGTGACTTGGCCAGGGTCACACAGCCAGTAAGTGTCTTTGAGGCCAGATTTGAATTCCTGACTTCAGCCACACTCTATCCACTGTGCCACCTAACTGCCCATCTGTATTTCCTAAGTTGATTCAAATTTAAAGTTAAATGAACACTGAATTTGGAGTCAGGACACCTGAGTTCTAGTTTAGGCTTGATCATTCACTAATTGTATAATCTTGATTGAGTCTTTCAATGTTTTTGAGCCTCAGTTTACTCTGTTTTTAAAATTAATTTTCAATGGACAAAAATGGATTTTTCTTCCCCTCAGATTGCACCATCCCTCGACATCACCATATCGTATGGTCAAGGCAAAAAGCCTTTGTAACATTTGTAACAGAAGTTTCCTCATCTGTTAAAGAAGACACCCAAGCTGGCTACCTTACAAGACTGGAAGATCACATAAATATGCTTTATAATCATAAAGTACAATATAAATGTTAGTTATTATTAAAATTGCTAAGGGAAGTTATTTCTAGGCTTCTAAAAGAGCTTAATTCCTATCAAGACCCTCTCAATTTTTTGGTGCTGTGGGACAAAATCTAGTCACCCCCCCCCCCAGTTATAACTCTGCCATAAAGTACTTTGTAAACTTTAAAGCATAATGAAGGTCCATAGGGTGTAACTGCACCTGGATTTATCAAGATTCAAATCCCACCTAAAACACTTACTAGATGGGCAACTGTGGGCACATTATTAAACCACTCTGAGTATCAGTTTCTTCCTCTATAAAATGGGGTCATAGTACCTATTTCACAGGGCTGCTTTGAAGATCAAATGACATAATGTCTTATACAGCTCTGTAACCTTAAAGGACTGTATAGGGGGTTCCTTGAATATTATTAATTATATATAATATATTAATAATAGCTTTTAAAAGCTATTTTTAAGAACAGTTATTTAAAAGCTATTAAAGCTTGTGTGCTCTAAGACTTTTGAGACCCCTTGTATAAATGTCAGGGTTTTTTTTCAATTATTTTTATTCTATCAAGGACATTCATGGCTGCTTGCCAATTCACCTGCACCCAGGTAGGCAAGGATTTGGACTAGGAACGAGCTGGATGATCCAGGGATTACTAGGCAAGATTATCTCTCAAGTTGAGCAAAGCTAATGCTTGATGTATCTATTAACTGCTGACCTATATCGACATGGTGTCCTCCTATCTAGAGTAAAATCATTTTTGTCACATTCAAGGTGAACAGCAGTAAGGTATTAACTAGTGCTATCTTATTATTGAGAAGAACAAGAGAAAGGGATGGGTTCTGTACCCAAAGCCATTACCCCCTATATTCTTACATGGTGATAGCTGGAGTGACTAGACAGGTGGGGGCTAGATGTTCCCCTACTTTCATTATGTGGCAGGAGGTCGAGGGTATGGGGCTTTCCCTATTCACCAGTCCTTCAGTGGGCACCAGGAAGCTGGGGAACAGTGTAGAGAAAGGAGTCACAGCCTGAGTTCCAAAAGTCCTGCCCCTGTGTCTTGAACTTACCAGCTTGAAGATGCTGATGGCCTCTGGGTGATGCTCTTTCTCCAGGCTGGTAAGGGGGCTTTGTAGTGGCTCAGTAAGCATCCCAAAGGCAGGATCCTAGGGACAAAGCATGGACACCAACATTTGGTGGGGTGACCAATGGTGAAGGAAAACCAAGGTGAATAGGACTAGGGGAAGGACATAGTGGGAAAAGGGAGAATAAGACTTAGGGAATTACTGTGTAAAAAGGGATGATGGAGTTCGGGGTCTCTTTGGGAAAGGAGGTTAGCAGATGACCTCAGGGTAGTCCTGAGGCCCTGTCTCCTGTTGCTCTGTTTCCCTCCTCCTGACACACACATTGCCTCCCCTGGGCCCCCAGCCCCAGAATGCTGAAGAAGAACCAGGGTTGACCTTGCACATAATGACACAGTCCCACTCTCCCAGTTTGTGTTCCTTTCCTGCCTTTTTACCGCATTTTCCCCCTTTCAGACATACTTACTCTGCTTCTATTTTTACCCAAAAACCTCTTCAAAATCTAATCCAAAAAACATTTATTAAGTACCTACTATGTGTCAGGCACTGTGCTACATGCCTTTGCTCAGTTTGTCTGGAGAGGACTAGGCCCCACAAAGGTACCACCTGACAATATTACTTTGGTGATATCCTCCTAGAGATTTTTGTAATTTTAGTATGGAAAAATGCCTCATTCCAAAGAAATTCAGCTCAAATGTGGGAATTTCAGGCAACACAGAATATAGAGTGGGGGAGGCAAAGTGATGGGGGAGGGGGAAGTTGAGAACCTTCTCAGAAGCTGTTAAATCCTATCCCATCAGGGCCTCACCTTGAAGTGGGCCTGGATGTACTTGACCATAGGATAGTTGTTGATGTCAAGGGGCAGTGCAATCTGAGGATCAGTCTGTAGCTTGGGGGTACGGACAGAAACCACGCAGCCAGCATTTGCCTGTTTGTACACTGTGGGCCAGAGGAAACAGGACTAGGAAGGCACACAGGCTCCCCCCTTTCCCTTGCCACCTCTTCTCCCTAACCGTGAATCTTCCCCAGACACTAGAATCCCATCCGTTCCCTCTCCCTCTCCAGAGGCTCCATGCAAAACTTTAGCTCTGAAACATTCTCACTGACTGATGCCTGCCCCAAGCTGGGGCACAGGACTGGGTCAGCCAGCCTCTCCCAAATCCAGGAAACCTCTCTGATGGTTCCCATCCCTTCTCCCTACTCCCCTATGTCCTGGCCCTTCCCAGACTTCATTGCCAACCTGGTAACCTTCTGGAAGGTACAGTCCCCTCCCCGCCCTTTAGAGTCCCTTGCCTACCTGTCACCACCTGTAGGAGTCCTGACAGCTCAGCGGGCACCTCAAGGCAGGCCACATTCACCACCTCTCTCTTGGTCAGTTCCTGGGGGACGCAGCACTCAGAGGGGATTCTCCCTCCTCCCCTGGTCCTGGGTTCAGGGGACGCCAGGCACCAGAGTTTTAAAGAGACTGGGGGTGGAAAGTGGCTACCCATCCAGAGTGGGCACCAATCTGTAGGTTTAGGGCTATGCCATCCCTGTGCCCCTGAAACTTTCCCTGGAATTCACACTCACCCCCCCCAAGACCCTTATTCTTGGAAGCAACACCACCATGAGATACCTATAGGGCATACCTTCCCTTACCCCACTCTGCTTCCCAGCCCAGAATCACCTTCTGCACCTACACTTTCTTCTAATTTGTGTGATCCCTCATTTTTACCTTCAACTTTGATTAGAACAGTGACCTAGTTGCCAGGACCCTGAGACCTGAACCTGGAGTAAGGGGAGAAGGGGGATGTTGAGGGAAGTGGGAAGGGGTGGTGGCATGAGAAGGGAAGGAATCTCAAAGTGATTAGAGGTCACAAACATAGGTATATCAAAACAAAAGATGGGATTTCATGGAGGGCATCAGGGTAATGATGGAAGGTCCCTGGAGGTCCCTCCAGCTCAGAATCCCTCATTTGCTTGGTGGAACAATCATATATTTATGGCATCAATGTCATTTTTTACTGTGCTCATTAGGATCTGTTGCATTCATTCATTCATTCATTCATTCATTCATTCATTCATTCATTCATTCATTCATTCAACAAGCATTTATTATCTCTCCAATTAGATTATACACTCCGAGCTGGCACTGAGTTATATATGTCTTTGTATCATCAGCACATGGGGCTGTTGAATGAATAAAAGGATGTAAGAATTAGCATTCTTCCCCCCACCACCCTATACACACCCCGTCTCCCTTGGGTCCTCCAGGAGCCCCACTGCTTGGATTTGGTTAAAACCTTGGAGTCCACGGCTAGGGTGTGGCATCATCCAGTTTGTCCATAAATAAGGATGGAGAGGTTGTTCCCCAGAAGAGCTGTTTATACTCCCAATGCTGCCTTTAATAGGTTTCTGTTCTTAGATTCACAGGCTCTTCACTCAGTCCCAGACCTTCCTTCTGCTGCTACCCCTTCGATTGTTGCCAAGTCTAAGGCTCAGGCTCTGCATCAAGGACAAATCTAAGCCCCAACCTCTGGGACAATAGTTATTACTTTACATCTCTGTTAACATTGTTACAGACTGTAAAAACCACTGGCTACCAGTGAAAAGGAAAAGCTAATGTGAGCGCATTGATGGATTTTCCAATTAACTTTGACTTTGTTTTTTGAGGAACTGAGCAGTGCAAGATTCTACTGGTTTGTTGTTGTTAAATCTATTAATTATGTCCGATTCTTTTGACTCCATTTGGGGTTTTCTGGGCACAGATACTGGAGTGGTTTGCCATTTCATTCTCCAGCTCATTTGACAGATGAGGAAACTGAGGCAAACAGGGTTAAGTGACTTGACTAGGGTCACACAGCTGTCTGTATCTGAGTATCTGTATCACACAGTATCTTTGGCCTGATTTTTTAACTCAGGTCCTCCTGACTCCAAGGCCAGAGCTCTATCCACTGCACCACCTAGCTGCCCCAACAATTGACTTTTGAGAGCCAGTTCGAGCTGGTTCCAGCATACCTCTGTGTATGTGTATTCCTATGAATGCTTTTTATTATTTAACTGCACAGTGGAAAAGGGATGAAAGTGTCAGGGTCCTTCCTACAAGGAGGGCTGAGACCTACAGCTGAGCACCAAGGCCCTGAGCTCCCTTTGGCTCTTCCTTCCTTCCCATACAGTCAGTTTGGGATGAGAAAGGACCTGGTTCCTGGTGTATTTGTATGTATGTGGCTGGTGGTGGGAAGGTGAGGTGGGGTTGACCTTACCCTCAGGTACTGCTTTTGGTTCACATACATGTTCACCAGAGATCTGAACTTGACCAAATTCCTCTTCATTTTCCGGTACTTCTTCCTAGGGGTAGGGAGGGTAAATGGAGCCAAAGTCTAGGCAGGGTATAGATCCCACACAGGCACTGGTCCCCAAGAATAGGAGCCCCAGAGGCTGTCAGGAAGCCCAGCACTGCCCTCCCTCCAGCCACCCATAGCCATGCAGTCAGAGGCAGGATCCTAGGTATGACATCTCACGGTGAGCAGTGCTGGCTGTTTGTCAGAGTGCCTCCACATCTGCGTATGTGCTCGCACAGCTGCCAAAAGGATATTTCTAAAGCACAGATCTGACCCTATGACTTCTCAGGACCATAGAATACATAGGACCCTATCACTCTTGGCTTCCCACTCAACCCCTCAGCTTCATTGGCTCCCTACTATACAAACTCCTCTGTTTGATGCCTAAAGCCCTCCAAAGGCCCATTAGATTGTAAGCTCCTTGAGGGCAGAGATTGTCTTTTGTATCCCTAGCACTTAACAGGTGCCTATCATATAGTAGGTGCTTAATAAGTGCTTATTGATTGATTTATTGATTGAAATGGGGCTCCAACCTACCTTTTCAGTCTCATTTTATGTGACTTCTCCTTTATTCGGTCAAACTAGCCTTTTTGCTGCCCACCATATACAACCTGCCACTGCCTTTGCATAGACCGTCCTCTGTGCCTGGAATACACCATCTCCACACCTCGGCCTATTAGAATCCTTGTTTTCCTTCAAGGCTCTGTTCAGACACCACCTCCTATATGAAGCCTTTTCTGATCTCCCCTGGTAGCTGCTGGTGCCTCTTTTCCCAAATTACCTTTTGTGCATATGTACATATAATATGCATTATATATACATACATAATATATACATATTTTATGTGTGTACACATATATATTTCAGTCATGTCTGACTCTTCGTGATCCCATTTGGGGTTTTCTTGGCAAAAATACTAGAGTGGTTTGCCATTTCCTTCTCCGGCTCATTTTACAGATGAGGAAACTGAGGCAAACAGGGCAAAGTGACTCGGCCAAGGTCACATAGCTAGTAGGTGTCTGAGGCCAGATTTGAACTCAGGAAGATGAGTCTTTCTTCAGGTCTGGGGCTCTATCCACTAGGTGGTGACCTAGCTCTGTGCGCGCGCGTGTGTGTGTGTGTGTGTGTGTGTGTACATACTGTTTCTCCCATAGAGTAAACTTCTTGAGGGCAAGGATTTTTTCATTTTCATCTTTGCCCCCAGAACAGTGCCCGGTACACTGTATACACCTAAAAAAAGCTTGTGGATTAATCGATTGATACACAAAGTCCTTTGAGGGAAGGCGGAACAGAGATTATTTATTATTCTTTTACGACAAGGACAGAGAGGTAGTGTGGCATAGTGGATGGGATGAGGGACTTAGAAGGTCAAGAAGACCTGGTTCAAATCTCACCTCTGACACTTACTAACCTTCTGACCCGGAGGAAGGTTACCTAACTTCTCAGAATCTCAAGCAATTTCCTAAGACTAAGTCCTAGAGTGGCTTCTATCTGTATCTGCGTTAATCGAAGGAGTTCCCACACCAGAAGGTCATCATGTTGAAACCAGAGATCTTTCATATATGACAAGAAATCCAAGAGAAGAAATAACTTTTCCCAGTTGACAAGGCTAGAACAGGGCTAGGGCCAGATCTTCAGTCTCCTGACCACCCCCCCCCCCAAGCTCCCCATCCATTCCCAGGGCAAACTGTCCTTCAGTGAATCCATGACCCTTGGCTTTACCACACAAGGTCCCAAAGGCCCAAGGACAGTCGGCTCTGCTCGGCTCTGAGGTCTGCGTCCAGTTCAGGGAGCTCCCTGCCGGGATCAGCAGTGAGGGGCACGGCGCCCCGCCCAGAACCCCTCTATCTCCGACGACGGATCCCTCCGTACCCTGAAACCCCCCATTGCCGGCTATCCGCCCTCTCCCACTTGGCGACAGCTTCTACAGCTGCCTGGTTCACCTGCCTGGGCCCAGTACCTGGCGAGGTAGCCCCGAGAGACGCTCTGGAGAAGGATGATCTTGCGGCGCAGGGATCGGAAGCGCCTTTTGATGAAGAAACCTCGGAGGCATCGCTGCAGCGTGAGCACTGCCAGGTGCAGAACTCTGTCCCTCATGCTCTCCAGCAGCTGGTACAGATGTTCCTTCAGGAACAGCTGGGGATGGATAGGGCAGGGCACCCTCGTGTCACAGACCACATGGTTTAATGAAAAAGCTCTTGCTTTAGAATCAGAAGGCCTGGGATCAAATCCTGGATCTTCTTTTCGCCAGTTTGGGGGCAATCACTTAAAGTCTATGGGCCTCGGTTTCTCCATATGTAAAATGAAACGTTTAGGCAAAGTGATGTCACAAGTTCCTTCAGACAACCTGGATTCAAATTCTGGAGCTGTGACTTTTTTCATGTGTGATCTTGGACAAATCTCATAATCTTGCCCAAACTCACCTCTAAAATGGGAGGGGAATTGGATTAGGTGGTCCCTAAGGATCCTTCTGACTAAATCTATGGTCGTCATCATTGTTGTTGTTGTTCGGTCATGTCTGACTCTCCGTGATCCCAGTTGGGGTTTTCTTGGCAGAGATACTGGAGTGATTTGCCATTTCCTTCTCCACCTCATTTTGCAGATGAGGAAACTGAGGTAAAGAGGGTTAAATGACTTGCCCAGGGTCACACAGTTTTGGAAGTGTCTGAGGCTGGATTTGAACTCATGGAGATGAGTTTTCCTGACCCCAGGCCCAGAAATTAATCTAGTGGCAGCTAGGTGGTGAAGCAGATAAAGCACCAGCTCTGAAGTCAGGAGGACCTGAATTCAAATCAGGCCTCAGACCAAATGCTTGACACTTACTAGCTGTGACCCTGGGCAAGTCACTTAATCCCAATTGCCAAAAAATAAAGTAAAAAAAACTTAAAAAAAAAAAAGAAATTAATCCGCCCAGAAGGGAACTGAGGGTAAGTAGAAGCTCTGATGGTGGAGAGACTATAACTGTTTGCATGAAAAGCCAGAGAGGAAGGATGCCCCAGGGTTTTCATTTCACAATGACTTTGAACTCTTCCTATCCCAAGCCCCTGACCCCTCTATACTTCAGAGAAATCTGTATTTTTAACAGAAAATGGTCATGGACTCACAGGATGGTAGATTAGGGCTCAACAAGACCATAGAGGTCTTTTAACCCAAGTCCCCCTCTTCTTAGAAGTGAGGGGCCTGAGACCTAGAGAGATCAAGCTGAGATTTGAACCTATCTCCTCCAAGTCTAAATCCAACCTTTCCTCCCTCCTCTCCCTCACTAGTTAACAGAGCTTCAGTTACGGCACTTTAAGCAAGCACCAGTGGGGATGGCTCAGAGTGAACGTAAATAGCAATTATTTCTGTTCTGGCCAGAAACTCTGAGGGTCTTCCCCTCCCAGGTGGATTCGTTTGAGAAGGCAAACTAGGCCACTTTATGCCTCAATTCTTGCCTAGCCTTTATTCACTGACTGGGTATAGTCTCAGACAGACCTGGGAAAGACCTTAGCTAAAAAAGACCAGGGTCTTCCACTGCATCCTGGGCCATCTCCAGTCATCTTGATCTATACTTGGCCACTGGACCCAGATGGCTCTGGAGAAGAAAGTGAGGCTAGTGATTTTGCACAGCTCTGCCTCACTTAAATCCAATTCACTCAAAAGTCAAGACATCACCCTTCTGACATTATCGGCCCTCTTCTAGAACAAAGGAAGGACAAACTACTACAGTGAGGATAAGGATTGGGAAAAGAGGCATTGAGTGGGAGAGGGGGCATAGCAAAATATAACAAGCATTTGTTTGTTCTTGTTGTTGTTTTTAGGCAGTTGGGGTTAAGTGACTTGCCCAGGGTCACACAGCTAGTAAGTGTCAAGTGTCTGAGGCTGGATTTGAACTCAGGTCCTCCTGACTCCAGGGCCAGTGCTCCATCCACTGCACCACCTAGCTGCCCTTGCATTAACAACTTAGTTAAATCAAGTAATTTTTGAAAGGAATAGTTGATAGCTGAGAGATTTTCCTGCAGGAACAAAGATAATCGAGGGGGTAGGGTGCGGTTGGGGAAGGGACTGGTGATGAGAGGGTAGGGAGTAGAGGAACTCTGGTAGAGTATTAGGAAGGTGACAAAATCAGTCTAAAGACTTCCATTTGACTAGTCAGGCCTTCCTTGAATGTTATGATTGACAATTAATCAGGTAGGGCTACTATCATCCATCAGTGAATAATAGTAAGTGCCTACTATGTGCCGGGCATTGTGCTAAGTGTGGGTGATCCGAATAAGCAAAAGATGGTCCCTGCCCTCAAGGAGCTTACAATCTAATAGTGGACACAACAAACAAATATGTACAAACAAGCTATATAGAGCTTCAGTAGACCACACAGTCCCTGAGATCTAGATTCCCTCTTACCTTGCTGACTCCAATGCAGTACATGCGGTGGGTGACTGTGCAAAGTCTATTGAGCACTGAGACACACGCTTCCCCAGTAGCTGGTATGTCATGTTTGAGAGACACCAGGCATCTGTACCTGAATGTGAGTGGAGAATCCCAATAGTCATCAATCCCTGCTTAAAATAACTATATTCCTCCTTCTCCCGTAACCTCCCTCTTTTCCCCCAGGTGCTGCTGCTCCCTGGCCCAGTGATGGCAAACATTATCATTCCATACAGATTCTTGGGCTGCATTTGATGGTTAGTTGTGTACATGGAATAACATGAGATGGGGGTGGCAGTTGCCATATTCATCAGTCAACAGGAATTTTAAAAGTAACCTTCTTCCCAAGCATTCCCAGCATCCAGAATAGTCTGGAGCTGGTATCAAGGGAAAATATCTCTTCTCAAGAGGTAAGAGGAAGAGGGATGGACCAAGAGCTCAGTGCCCCTTCCCTACATGGTAAGTTTTTGATTTCCTGACCGTGAGCAGGGAGGGTCCCAGGTTTTCCCCAGATATCAAGGCTGGGTCTCGGATACCATGAGCTCCCCTTTATGGGCAGTACCTGTCAATGAAGACCTGGAAGGGAATGCGCACAGGGAAGCCCTCTTTTCGGATCCGGATGGTCTCCATGACCCCTGAGTATCGGAGCTGTCCCATCACCACATCTGGCTCGAAGAGATCAGGCTCCTGTGGTGGGGAGAAGGAGATTAGACTTCTCACTTGCCCGCCTTTCCTGCTATTTGGGAGGGTTGGAGGAGGGCAGCAGAGTGATGGGATTAAAAGTAGTGGGGCAGAGAGGGAAAGTGCCCTCTGAGTCAAAATTCAGCCTCCTTTGCCTGACATTCGAGACATCACTTGGTGCAATTCTCCTTTCCGGTCTGGTCTCATAGTTCTCCCCTCCCCTGCTCCAGACCAGGCCATGACCTGCTCCCTGGGTTGTAGCACCTGTAATTGTACCACCTCCATGCCTTTGCTTATGCTGTTCCCTAGATCCAGAATGCTTTCCTTTCACTCACTCAATTTCAATCCGTACTCTAAGAACCTATACAAGTGACCTCCCCACCCGTCATCTTCTGAAGTGTCAAAAACACTTTGTATCTCTCTATGCACTTACTATATATTCTCTTTAAAAATTTATTTATTTATTTATTTAGGCAATTGGGGTTAGGTGACTTGCCCAGGGTCACACAGCTAGTAAGTGTCAAGTGTTTGGTCTGAGTCTGAATTTGAACTCAGGTCCTCCTGACTTCAGGGCCGGTGCTTTATCCACTGCTCCACCTAGCTGCCCTACTATATATTATTTTGTATCATGTTTACCTGTGTATGTGGCACATTCCCTTGCTAGACTCCAGGAGGGCAGTCATTGTGTCTTACCTAAACCTTGTACCTCCTCCAGTGACTAGCATAGCATTCTGCATGCAGTTTTGTGAACTTGAAATGTTGACAGAGAAAAGGAGAGAAAGGGAGAGGAGGGGGAAATGAAGGAGGGAGAAAAAAGGAAAAGGAGAAAAGAAAGAGGAAAATAAGAATTTTATGAGTTTCTGGGGAATGGAAAAAGGAAAGCCCAGGATCTCATTACCCTATTCCCTCCCTCTTCACCACCTTTATCCCCTTACCTTTTTGTGGTTGGGTTTGAGGCATCGGACAAACAGAGGGTTGCACCTGAGAGTCAGGCAAGAAAGTAGGCATGAGACATGGAAAGTCCGGACTGCTCCTTCTCTCTTCCCTCTAAACCAGGGCTTCTTAGACATTTTGGTCTTAGGATTCCTTTACATGCTTAAAAATTATTGGGGACCCCAAAGAACTTTTGCTTATACGGGTTATATTTATCACATTAGAAATTAAAATTTTAAAATAAATAATTTTTTAAATGAACTTTGAAATATTTACCCACTAAATAACAGTAAATCTATCCCACATTAACATAAATAAGATATTTTTATGAAAACTAACTATTTTTCCAAAACAAGAGAAGAGTGACATTATTTTACATATTTTTGTAAATCTCTTCACTGTCTGGTTTAATAAAAGACATCTGTTTCTGCATTCAATCTCTTGTGATACATTGTTTTTATTGAAGTATATGAAGAAAACATGCCCTGCACTGGTATGTAGTTGGAAAAGGAAAGAGTATTTTAATAGGCAAATAATATCTTGATATGATTATGAAAATAGCTCTGACCTCACAGACCCCAGGAAAGGGCCTCAGGGACTCCCAGGGGGTTTGTGGACCACACTTTGAGAAATGATGCTCTACACCCTTCACTCCACCCTCCCAGTCACCTCATCCTGCCAGAGAAGAGCTTGGAGTTATTTTGCCAGCCAACCCTAGTCAAAGCCTTGAACGCACGGTAGTGGCTACTGTGCTCCTTCCCCTCAACAGAATTTTGAACCATCGTTGGCAGGGCCTGAGGCTGGCTAATCAAGTCACTTCTCTGCCTCAGCTGCTCTAGCTTAACGAGGAAGAAGCTATGGCCCAGAAATATTGGTCCGCCTCCCAGGCCCCCGTTCACCTCTCCATCTTGTCCACTAGGTCCAGGAGAGACTGCTGAAACTTAGCAGCCACAGTGGGAGCCTTGTAGAGACGCGTGAGGGTATTGTTCTTCCCCAAGCGATGGTGGGAGGTTAACTGAGCATGGCTGGCAAAGAGGTGAGCCACCACCTGGCACCCACAGAGCCAGAGGGAAAGAGATGCAGAGAATCAGAGAATGACTTTTCCATTTCCATTAGCCGTGTGGGTGTGAGTCGTGGGTGGAAGTGCAATGTAGCCTCAGCAACGTGAGGGTAGAGGCAGGGAGGGCAGAAGGGGCTCCTCAGTCCTCATGTCCCATCACCCAAGTGCATGCCAAGAACAGCTGTCCATTCCTACCCCCTCCCAGCTCAGCAATACAGTAAGGGCCTTATTCTGCTGCATGCATGCGTCTATGTGTACATTTCTGCATTTCATTCATTCACTCAACATTCATTCATCGAAGAGGTATTTATTAAGGGCTCCCTGAGCACTCCCAGGTGCTGTGCTACATCTTGGGGACAGATACAAAGACAAAAATAAAACAGTTCCTGCCCTCAAAGAGCTTATGTTTTACAAGTGAAAACAATAACTACACTCATACGTCAATAAAAAAAATACAAACACAATACAACATCCAAATTATAAAATAATTTCAGGGCCAGTGGAAGGGAGGTACCTCCCTAGAATAAATAATTCTGGGAGGGGTAGGGAGAGTGATGGGGAGAGGAAGATGCCATGAAGGGGAGGACTCACTTGAGTTTTACTTCGGACAAACAGGTCTAGCACATCCTGCCTCACCTGGTCATAATTTTTGTCTAGAAACTTGTGCACCTGGCAAAGCAAAAAACAAACAAAACAAAACAAACCCAGGGTGAGTCATGGCAACTCCTACAGTGTTATTCATCCTGTTTGATGGATGAGAAAATCAGCCCAGCAGAGGTCAAGCAATTTAACATCATAGAATGTTACCACTGGAAAGGGACCTTAGAAATCAACCCCCATTATTTTACAAATAAGGAAACTGAGGCCCAGAGACTTGTGACTTGCCCGGTGACTTGTCCAAGGTCACAAAATGCTGTTAAATGACAGTACCAGTATTCAAAATAGGGATTTTTATCATAGAGGCGTGGGCACTTTTGAGAGGTAGGATGGTATAGAGAGACTTGAGTCTGAACACTGCCCCAAATTTGTACTAGCTGTGTGAATTGGGGGCTCTCTTGAGCCTCAGTTTCCTCATCTGTAAAATGAGGATGATAAGAACATCCATCTTACAGTGTTGTTTTCAGGATCAATGAAATCAAATGAATCAATGAAATCAGTAGAACAATGTATGCGAAAGTGTTTTGCACACTTTAAATTCCACATTATGAGCTATTATTTTCATTTTCTGGGAGTGTTGAGAAAGGAGGCCCTATATAAGGTTAAATTATTGTTTTGAATCCCCAGCATCTAGCATGGTATCTGGAAATAGGAGAGCTGAATAAATTCTTGTTGAGTTAAATATTAACTTTGTTAGAAATGCCCTAGAGCCAAATATAAAGGCATTCAATCAATCAACAGGTATTTATGAAGCACCTACTATGTGCCAAGGTGGTGGGGATACAGGCACTAAGAATGAAATAATCCCTACTCACTTGAGCTTGGGGAAGTTTCCAAGTAACTCAGGGGTTCCTGGGATCACTCTCTAAGTCCCCCAAAAGCCAAAACAGGTAGAGAAGTAGGAACAGGTAGGTATGTTTGGAGAAGTGAGCCTCTCACCTGGTAGGTGACTTTGCCAGCATAGTGCTTGATGGTAAATTCAGGCAGGGGCATCTTGGGCTTGGAGTAGAGGGGGTTGGAGCCATGGTGGTAATGACATTTCTGTAGGAAAGTGTGGTCTGTGGCCTGGGGAATAGGGATGCCCAAGTAGTGATCAGAGAAGGGAAAGAGAAGGGGAGAAGGGAAGGAAGGGAGGGGACCCTGCCTGGAGTGGCCACAGAGCATGAAAAATAAGTAAAATTAAGATAGATCTGCCTACTGGACATCTATACCTAGATATTCCACTGTCACTCAAGGTCTATATGTCTAACACTGAACTCATCCTTCCCCCTACTAGTTTTTCTTCATAACTTCCCTATCCCTGTGAATAGACATTCCTACTCTATTTCAAATGTTCCTCTACCTATTTCACCTCACCAGTTATCCCTGCCTTTTCCCTCTCTTTTGTCTCCCATATCCATTCAGTTACCTCAACATTTTTTACATCCATCCCCTGCTTTCCATTCTCACTGCATAACTCTAGTTCCAGTTCTCAGACTTTCTTAATAGGTCTGCCCATATCTAATCTCTCCCTCCCCCAATCCATCTTACACACCACTACTAGACTGGGTTGTTCTGGGACATGGGTCACTGCAATGCTGAAGAACACTCAATGGTTCCCCTTTGCCCAGGCAAGTTAATCTCAGGAGGCTTCCAGGAAAAGGAGATTTTTTTGAGAATCCCTATAGTTAGAACTATATTCCCTCTAGGGTATGGTAAGAAGAGAAGGCCTATGAGACTTACCTGGGGGAAGCAACTCTGGTCATCTAGAATCCTGAGAATACCGTAGGGCTTCAGGCAGATAAGGTTGATACAAGGCTGATTGTCAGTGAAGGTGATTTCTCTCCAGTCTATTTGCTCTCGGATGTACTCATCCTGGACAAAGGTTGCCCACTCCCAGATTTGTACAAGATTTTTTTTTGGGGGGGTGCCCCTCCCAGGGACTGAGGCCTTGCACCATCAGACATCCAACAGCCTCATCCAGTCCCAATCTATTCCCCACCCCTCCCAAACCTAGTATAAGGTTGGGCATACAGGTGGAACTCTATACACGAGCCTATGAAAAACATCTGTATGAATGCCATGGCCAGCCTTATACCTATATCCTGCAGGGGACCCAAAGAAGCATAAGACTTTGCTCTTCATGGAGCTCATAATTAGCTGGAGATAAAATGTGTGAGAGAATTAGAAGGCAATTTAGTGTCAAATTGTACTATGAGGAATTCAGAAACGGTGGAAAGCCAAGAGGCTCACCTACCTGGGCCTAAAAGGATGGGTAGGATTTGGAGAGGCAGAGAGGAGGGTGGAGAGCATGAGATGTGGGATAGTCTCTCTACTTTAGGGTAGTAAGAATGGTATAAGCAAAGGCATAGAGGTTGGAATGCTTAATAGATTGATTTGGGAATATCTCCCCTTCCTCTCTTGTGCTCCAGCAACCTCCCTGTTCTGGGTTCCTTACAGCTGACCCCCTGACTTGAGGGCTATGCCGATCAGTGAGAGAAGGCTTGGCAATGAGCTGACTGAATGTTGAAGGAGGTGGCCAACTCAAATCAAGACAGAAGGTTAGAGTCAAGACAGCTATCCGTGGGACCATCTCCCCCCACCGCCCTCCCTGGCTCACCTGCTCCTCTTGGAAGACAATCTTGTTGAAAAAGTACTGCAAGTACTCATTGGCATAGTTGATGCACAGCTGCTCAAAACTGTTGAAGCTGAGATCCTGATCACAGAAGGGCCCAATTACAGGCATCCCAAAAGTAGGCAGTGGGGTGGGGGGCATATACTTCTACATCTCTGGGGTTAGAGTCATCAATCAACAACAAACAATTATTGACGCCTCCTATGTGCCAGGCATGGTGCTAGGAGCTGGGGATATAACTATAAAAATGAAAAAGTCCTTGCCCTCAAGGAGCTTATATTCTAATGGAAGGATTCCCATTCAATGAGGAACTTCCTCTCCTGTTTTCCTCAATCAGTAACACCCTTCCCTCATCATCTACTCCCATGTGCCCTCCTACTTCATACCAAAGACTGGATCCTGGCGTGAACTAAATGAGACAAAGCCAGTCATAGTAGCTTGCATGTTACCTCCTCCATTAGACTGAGTTCCTTAAGAGTAGGGACTATTTTTTGTCTTCCTTTGTATCCTCAGTGCTCAGCATAGTGGCTGGCATATATTAGGTGACTGTTGACTGACTGAGAATGGTGAACTCTCTGGGCAAGGGAATGAGGGCTGGAGCTAGAGTCTATTCTTCCCTTATTGCCCACCTCAAAGCCATAGATGTCCAGGATGGCAATGGAAAGAGCATCCTTCTGGGGGTAAACCAATGTATTGATCCTGTCGATAAGCCAGCCAAACAGCATCGAATATAGAATCTTGGCAATAGCATCTCTGGAACAGAGAGGATGCTTGCTTGGGATGGGGAGGGGGAAGAGGGGAAGGAGAGCAAGCAGGAGGCTGGGACAGACAAGGGATAGCAACATTCTTGGGGGTGGGGTAACCTAAGGACATACAGCCCCCCACTACCCTACCTGGCATCCACGGCACTTTCCACAGTGAGGGGGGTATAAATCTTCTCTCTCATTGTCTCCTGAGGGGGAAATGCCAGAAAGATAGAGCTAGGGATGAGTTGAGCCAAATGTTTACTGATAAGCTAATTTGTGGATTTTCAGTTTAACTTCCAATTGACAAGGCTGGGGTGGGGAGTAGAGATTTTCTCCCTTTTTATATGGGGGGAAACCAAGACCCAGAAAGATCTGGTGGCCACACAGTATGCCAGCAGCAGAAATTATTTAGTAAGATACCTCAAGACCATCCTCTGTCTTGCCCCACTCCCCTCATTTAAGATGGAAGACTCAGGAATTAAGCCGTTCAGGGACAGACCAACACCCCATGAAGGTACAAGGAGGCAGGTGTAAAAGGCTCCACTGTGGAGAATTTATGAGAAGTCAGGTTGTAAACTAACGCATCCACTATCAATAAGATCACAGACCCAGGAAAGTAGCAAATATATGGAGAAATTAGGTCCTGTATTATTTTTGATCCAAAGTTTTGCTTTGCTTTTTGTCTAGAATTGAGTATCTAAAAGCTTTTATAAAATTCTTTTCTGGGGGCAGCTAGGTAGAGCAGTGGATAGAGCTCTGGCCTTGGAGTCAGGATGATCTGAGTTCAAATTCGGCCTCAGACACTTGACATTACTAGCTATGTAACCCTGAGCAAGTCACTTCTATTGCCTCACCAAAAAAGCCAAAACAAAATTCTTTTCTGGAATCTAACAGAAAGCATGACATTTTTGGTTGTTATAGGAAGAAAGTTAAGAGGCTGGACTAGAGAAAGTATGCATTGAGAAGCCACCCATTGATTTCCATTAGCAGTTGGTATACCATTGATTTCCTTCAAAGACCAAAAAAAGTGAAAAATTAAAAATAACAATCAATGAAACAGGAATAGTTGCATCCTTTTGCAATACATGATTTCTTGCATTTTCAAAGACTTCTTCTTTTTATATTTAATTTCCAATAAGATATCTTCTTTTTTGGCTCATGCATGCCTACTTAATGTTCAAGTTTTTACAGAATTTTTGAAATATGAAAGTTTTATCTTTATTTTATTTACTTAATTCACTATTTGTCATTTTATTCATTCATTCATTTATTTTTTTCACACTTCCTCCTACCTCTGCCAGTGGCTGTTCTAGACCTTTTCTTCTCAATCAATCAGCAAGCATCTATTAAGAGCCTGCCATATGCTAGGTACACTGTGCTGGGTGATGGGAGTACAAAGACAGCAGTGAACAGTTCTCACCCTCAAGGAGCCTAAAATCTGGCTGGTAGAGATAGCAGGTCTATCTATGGGCACGTACAAAATAGTGACAGGGTAATGTAGGAGGGAAGATGTATTGGGCAGTTTTTCCTTTCTTTTCTTTCTTAAATTTTTAAAAAATATTTCTGATCTTACACATAAGAAAGCACTTCCATATCCCTAGACGAGCACAAAAGAAGATTCTATACTAAACCATGAATTTCCATTTGCTTTATTTTTAAAAAGATATATAAATTCTGCACATTACTTTCAAAACTGACCTACTTGTCTGTTCTTCCTGAACTTCTTTCTGTTTTTTTTTCTTTTGTGTGGGCAGCCTTTCTTTTAATCAGCCAGTGCCTTATTTTGGTTGCTGTGTTCCATCTCATGATGAGAAGTGCGACTGAGATATGAATTTCTCCCTGCAGAAGGGAGTCCAAGTTATGGATCATTCCTGGGTAATCTTTTGGAGCAGAAAACCTGGGGGTGAAGGAGGGGAGGATTGACCAGGACTGTTGCAAACTAAAGCTAGAAAAGAAGTCAGAGGCCATCTAGTCCAACCAATTAATTTGACAGATGAGATCATCGAGACCCGGAGGGATTAATGATTAGTTCAAAGTCACACAAGTCTAGAGGTGGGATCAGAACCCAGGTTCTCTGATTTTGGATTTAGTGCTCTTTTTCCTATACCAAGGAGGCTATGGGATGAGGAAGTAGAAGAGCCAGACAAGCAGAAAGTGGTCAGTTAAGAGTCAAGCACAGAAATGGACAGCTGCCAAGAGATAAGCTAGGAGAGCCTGGACTGGACTGGACTGGACTGACCCCTATGTGGCTGCAAAGCCAGTTACCTCCAGGGTTGTGAGAGCCAGCCCAAGGAGCCTGACAGATTTGAGTACTTCTTCTACTTCCTAGCAAAATGGCTCTTCTGTCTTTTGTTTTAGTCAGATGTGCAAACTTGTTCATTCTGTCTTTTGTTTTAGTCAGATGTGCAAACTTGTTCATTCTTTTTTTTCTACCTTTTTTTTTTCCAAATCAAGTAAAGGTGTTTATTGGGGGTAACATACAACATTGAGCACAACACACCAACCATGCTCCCCTGCTCCTTAAGGGTCTATCTTTTCATTAGACCTCATTTATCTACTATAAAACCCTCTTGGCCTACAGAAATGCTGAGCTGTACATATTTTGTTTAAAGCTTATCAAAAAAGAGAGGATAAAACTTTTTTTATGCTAGGAAGGTGAGAGGTTTGGTCAGTGGGAGTCAGTCTGGGGGCTTGAAGCTCTTAGGACAGAGCAGGAAGAGAACAGCATTAGACAGTATAAGCCTGGGATATTATGGATTAGCAATTCAGATGCTCCTAGAAAGAAATCATGATATGGTGATAGAAGCAAGCTGCCTGGGACCAGCATGTAGGTAAGCATTCATTTATTTTTCAGACTACTGGCAGTCATTCCTGATGGGCTAGGTTTCAAACGAAGGCCACTCCCTTCGAGGCAAGAGGAGGCTGAAATCATGCCAGCCTTCACAAAGGAAGGAGTTTTCCATTCCCCAGCCTTACTCCCTAGCAATACCTACTGCATATAACTATACTATTATTATATGTTATAATTACAATTATTATTACTACTATTTATTTTATTTTATTTTATTTATTTTGGGGGGGGTTGGGCAATTGGGGTTAAGTGACTTGCCCAGGGTCACACAGCTAGTAAGTGTCAAGTGCTTGGTCTGAGGCTGGATTTGAACTCAGGTCCTCCTGACTTCAGGGCCGGCGCTCTATCCACTGTGCCACGTAGTTGCCCCCACTACTATTTATTTTAAACTAAAATTGCGAGTGCAAACCCCATTTTGGGATATTCTTTCTTGTTGTTATTGTTATTGGTTCTTCGTTCTCAAAGAGGACCAATGATATCACAAAGGCAACATCTTGATTTGCCCATGAATTGGATTTAAGTGAGGCAGAGCTGGGCAAAGTCAGTCTCATTCTCTCCTCCTAAATATTCTTCATATCACCAGAACTTTGCACCCTGCCTGAGAAGTGTTTAATAACTTCTTATGGATTAGTAGACGAAAATTCTGTATTGAGTGTGGATTATCGTAATCCTTTTGCTTGTACGTTAAGAGTTAAAAATTTTCTTTAAAGTATAGCTGCAGGGGCAGCTAGGTGGCACAGTGGATAGAGCACTGGCCCTGACGTCAGGAGGACCCGAGTTCAAATCTGGCCTCAAACCAATACTTGACACTAGTTGTGTGACCCTGGGCAAGTCACTTAACCCCAATTGCCTTAAAAAAAATTTAAAAATAAAGTATAGCTGCTTTTTAGCTTTTTTTTATGGTGGCTAAGAATTGGAAATCGAAAGGATGCCCATCACCTGAGGAGTGGTTAAACAAGCTATGGTATGATTATGATGGAATATTATTGTTCTGTAAGAAATGACAAGTAGGACAATTTCAGAAAAACCTGGAAAGACTTACATGAACTGATGCAAAGTGAAGTAAGCAGAACCAGGAGAATGTTGTATACAGTAAAAGCAATATTGTACCACGAAGAACTGTGAATGACTTAATGATTCTCAGCAATATAATGATCCAAGACAATCCCAAAAGATTAATGATGAAGCATACTGTCCACCTCCAAAGAAAGAACTGGTATTGTTTGAATACAGACTGAAGCATGCTATTTTTCACTTTCTTTCATTCTTTTTCTCTTGTTTGAGTCTTCTCCTATATAATGACTAATATGGAAATGTTTTACATGATTGCACATGTATAATTACATTTGATTTCTTACCATCTCAGGGAGGGGAGAGAGAATTTGGTGCTCAAAACTTTAACAAAAAATCCAAATGTTAAAAAATTATTTTAATGTGTAATTGGGGGAAAATTATACATACATACATACATATATACATATATATAAAACAAAGTATAGCTGCTTTTAGCCTTGCAAATTTGTATGTTTAATGTACAATAGGTTATTTTTCTTTTAAATTTTGCAAATGGCTTCTACCCTAAACCCCTGCCAGCTCACTCCAAGATAATAGTAGCTCCTATTAAAGTGATAGGATATTTATTGGCATCCAGACCCATCCTGATATCCACTACCTCCCTATATCATTGACTGCATATCATCCTTAGATTAATCATGGGGACCAGTCTGTCACAGGTTTCCAACTAGACAACAGGTGCTTATACCTGAAGCCTCTGAGGGTAGGACCAATACTAAGTATGGGAAGGGCTGCACATAGGCAAGGCTCATAGGCTTTGCCAATTTGACAGGTCAGATTTGAACTCAGGTGCTCCTGACTCCAAGGCCAGAGCTCTATCCATTGTACCACCTAGCTGCCCCAAACTTTTGGTTTGATTTTCTTTCTTTCTTTTTTTTTGTGAGGCAATCAGGGTTAAATGACTTGCCCAGTGTCACACAGCTAATAAGTTTCAAGTGTTTAAGTCCAGATTTGAACTCAGGTCCTCCTGACTCCAAGGCTTGAGCTCTTATCTACTTCACCACCTAGCTGCTCTTTAAGAATACTTGAAGAGTGTGGGGCCTCCTTCACAAGGACTGCCATCAGAAGAGGAGCCTTTTCACTATGTAAGAAGGAGTAATCCAGGCTCAAATTACATCAGTATATTCTGAAATCTTATCTTGTAACTCTTATACTTGCATAAGCATGGAGAAAGAGAATGCAGGACCAGAAGAAAGCTTACAGGCCTGGAAAAGGGTGTCCCGTGGGGGCCTGGCAGCATTCACGCCTCCTGCACTCATTCGTCGTCTGGGATCTGGGTGATTATGCTGACTCTCTAGAACATCTCATATCCTTCAATACATCTCACTATAATTTGCGTGAGTTGTGCACTGGGTTTTGCTTTTGCTGTGTAGCACCGAAGAGCAATGTTCTCAACACCACTGATCTCTCTCCTCTACAAGCCATCCTTCACACAGATGCCAAAGGAATTTTCCTAAAGCTCAGATCTGATCATGTCATGCCTCTACTTAGTAAACCTCACAGGTTTGTATTTAGGATTGAAGTGACCCCAGGCAAGTCACTTCACCCCATTTGCCTCAGTTTCCTCATCTGTCAAATGAGCTAGAGAAGGAAATGGCAAACCACTCCAGTATCTTTGTCAAGAAAACCCCAACTGGAGTTACAAAGAGCTGGACACACCTGAACAACAACAACAACAACAATAATAATAACAAAATGCCTGTTTGATATTTAAAAGGACTTTACAACCTGGCTCCAGCTTTCCTTTCCTGGTTGATTACCCATCACTCCCTTTCATGCATTCTTGTTGGTGGCAGTAGTGGTCATACATTCTGCAATCTAGCTGAACTGGTCCTCTTGCTTGTTCCTTGCACACAACATTCCCTTTCCAGTCTCCAAGTCTTTGCATTGGCAGGTGTCCATGCCTGGTATGCACTTCTGCCTCTTGGCATCCCAAATTTCCTTCAAAGCTCAGCTCAAATATCACCTTCCGCTATTAGTACCATCCCCCTCAAATTACTTTGTATTTTATTATATATATATATATATATATATATATATATATATATATATATATGATTTATACTTTTATTGATATGTGTTGTCTCCTCCCATAGAATGTTAGCTCTTTGAGGGAAGGAATGGTTTTGTTTTTTGTCTTTGTATCCCCAGGACCTAGGATAGTTCCTAGTACGAAGTAGTTGCTTATTTAATACTTCACTGATCTGTAATTCACAGCTTATATAGGGTTGTAGCTTTAATGATTGGAGACATTTGTAGATATCTATATCTATCTATCTGTCTGTCTGTTTGTCTGTCTATCTGTTTATCTGTCTTTTAGGTGAGGAAACAAAGGCCCCATCAACATGAAGGTAAGTTGAGTATTAATACAGGGAGGGCAGGTAGTTCCATAGTTGGGATTTGAACTCAGGTCCTTCTGAGTCCAAAGACCTCACTCTATCCATTCTGTTTCTTAAAGGGGAACATGTCATGACCCCACCCTGCTCCCAGGCAGAGGGATTGACCCTAAGATTGCTGGAGATTTCCTCTCCTCTCCACATCACACAGATCAGATCACCACCCCAGACCACCTGTGCCCCAGAACTCACGGTCACTTTGAAGGTGATGGCCTTCTGCAGTCCCTCTGGGGAGATCTGGAGCAGTTCGGCCACAACCTGTATCTCCCGGGCGCTCACCACAGAGGCTACTTCCTGGGCATCTGTCTGGGGAATCCAAGTTGACCCAGTTAGGCTACGAGAGGGAAACATTTCACCAGAGAGAGCTCAGAGAAGACAGTAAATCCCTGAGAAAGAGAGCTGGCCATAAGGAAAACTGTGTCTGGGTTCCTAGTCTCTCCTGGATCAACTTTAACTCCAGGGGCAATATGGAGATAAGCCTGTATGTAAGCTGGAGTCAGACTGCTCGGGAGAACTGATTGTTACATTTCCAGGGCCTGCATCTACACCTCAGAAATCAGCCAAAGCTCCAAATCAGGGCTTGGTTTATTGTTTTGTTGATTGTTAACTTAAGAAAGTGATGGAGAAAATGCTACTATAATGCAGATTAAGTTTAAAAGTGTATTGTGGGTTTTTGAAGAGCCAGTTAAACATTTACAGAGGGGTGCTGACCCCTCTGCCTATGCCAGTGTGAGACAGTTCTGACAGGTATTCTGAACCAGAAAGCTCAAGTCATCACAGATGCTTTCCAAATAAGGAGCCATTGACTACATACACCTGAGACACTGAGGAAAAACACACCCCATTCGCTTTCCTGGCTGTCTTCCCACTAGGTATGTGGCACCTTCCATTTACTTTGTACATATCTTTTATGAGTGGGTTTTTTTTGTTTGTTTGTTTCTTTTTTGTTTGTTTTGTATTCTCTGTCCTCCCTTACAATGTGAGCTGCTCCAGGGCAGGGATTATTTTTGTCTTTCTTTGTATCACCAGAGTACACAGTGCTTGGCACATCGTAAGTGCTGAATTAACAGACACAAAGAAGAGCGGCCATTATGTGGTGACCCAATTTTGCTGCCTCACCATAGTCAGAATCCAGCCCGGCTCTTTTTTCCCTTTCTCCTCACACTGCCACACTCTGCCTAGCTGAACTGTAAGGAGCCAGCAAGGATTACATTACCACTTCCACTTAAATACGTTAACTACACGTACCTTCCCTCTGGATGGAAAGACCATTGAACTCTTCCAATGCAATGGTCACGTCTGTTCTCTTCACATTTCTGTGCCTCAGATGCATCACCCCCCCCACAGTGCTAACAACTGACAAGTAGGCTTTTAGGAATGTGATTAATACCAGTGTCTTTCAGCACTCCACTCCCTGAGGCACCTCTGTCAGGAAACCCTAGGCTAACTTACTATTGTGAAGGAGGAAGACACTTGGTGGAATACACACAGAGTCTGAGTTTCCTCTGAACTATGGATGAATCAGACTAGTCCTTTGTGCACTAAATCTGCAACACTTTTCCTTTTGTGAGCCTGGATCTATACCACATAGTCTATGTACAAAGAAGTAGGATGAGGGGAGGCTTCCTTAATCAAGGAGAGGAGACCCAGGAGTATCAGTCCAAGAAGGGGATGGGTTAAGGCTTTCTCAGAACAAAAGTGTTGCTGGCCGTGGTGGTGCATGACTATAATCCCTGCTACCGGAAAAGCTGAGGCTAGCAGACCACTTAAGTTTGGGGGTTCTAAGCTGCAGTAGGGCTAAAACTGATTGGGTGTATAGATTAAATTGGCAACAATATGGTGAGCCCCCAGGAATGAGAGTCAGGCTGCATAAGGAGGGGCAAACCAGCCTAGGTTGTAAACGGAGAAAGTTAAAGCTCCAGTGTCCATCATTAATTGGATCAGGCTTGTGAATGGCCACTTCTTTTCCAGTCTGGATAAGATAGGGAGACCTAGCCTCAGAGAAAGGGAGGCAGGGGGAGGAGGGATGGACAGAGGGAGGGAGGGAGGAAGGAAGAGAGAAAAGGAGGGAGGAGAGAGAGAGCAGAGGGAGAGAAAGAGAGAGAGTAGGGAGGGAAGGGAGAGAGAGAAAGAGAGGGGAGGGAGGGAAGGAGAGAAAAGGAGGGATGGAGAGAGAGAAGGAGGGATGCAGATGGAGAGAGAGAGAGAGAGAGAGAGAGAGAGAGAGAGAGAGAGAGAGAGAGAGAGAGAGAGAGAGAGAATGAGTTCAAAGAGTATAAGGAGCTAAGAAAAAGCAAGCCAAACTCCATTTGCTTTCCTAGGTACCCCAGGGTACCATCTATAATGATACTTGGTGTAACTTTAACTTTATAAATCATCCCACAACTGTTATATGTTTGTGGTTGTTACCAGCAAAAAATCCCTAAGGGACCCTCTAAAAGGTTGTGGTCTGCCTTCATGAGAAAGGAGAAGATGGGAAACTTTTTCTAAAAGAATCAGGGAAGATAGAAATCCTCCAAGAGGGTAGGCAGCCCAGGAGGTGGCTAAAGAACAGCAGGGGCCCCAGCTTGGGAACCAGAGACTTCTCCAAGGGTTCCTAGCTCCAGAAGGCTTCATGCCCTCACATTCTTCCTGGCTCAGATTGCCCTCTTGATGCCCAGGGCACCACTTTGCAAAGAGGGGTTGCAGAAAGCTATTACTTTCAATATGAACCTGAGAAATGGGACACATAATCTCTGGGGGGATACCACAGGCTGCCCTTTACCTCTCTACATCCCTGATACTATTGTAGTGACACAGAATTAGAATTCATTCTTTGGGTAACCTGTGTATTTTTGCAGGGACCTATTGCAGACAACAGTTCCACCTTGGTCATTTACCCCCCAAAGAACAGGCTTAATAGTGGGAATTCCAGGCCAGGTTTGGGGGCACAGGGTAATTGAGAGGAAATAGGAAATATTTTGAGTATGAGAGAGCTTTGTGATTCCCTGGAATCACACCCTAGAAAAGGATATAGGGACAGTGGTTAAAACCTGAGGAGAGCAAGATTGGGGTAGGGGTGAGGGATTCAGGCTGCTAGGAGCATGTTGGGGTTGGGGTTTAGGAGTAATCTGGAGAAGAGAAAGGAATCTTCATCACTGTTTTCAAATATCAGCCATTCCCCATGTCATCTGTATGATTCCCCCAAAAGGGAGAAGTGAATTTTTAACAAAAGCAGCAAACTGTGGTTAGACATAAGGGAAAGCTTTTCACTAAGTGACAAAAGAAGGCTGTTGGGACTCTGTTCCTAGACACTTTGTGTGGTGGAACGAAATACCATACATGGTACATATTTAGATATTCACCTGCCTGAAGGCAGGGATGGAGCTGTAGCAGATGACCTCTTGAAGGCTTTCTTCCTCTGAACTTCTGAGGCCATAGATGCTTAACCAGGGGTCCAAGGACTCCCAAAGGTTTGTGGATAGATTTCAGGGGCTTCTTGAACTTCGATGGGAAAAATTACATCTGCATTTTCATTAACCTCTAACTGAAATTTAGGATTTTCTTTGAGTATGAGTTTTAAAAAAAAAACCAAAGAAACATTATTCAGAGAAGGAGTGCATAGGTTTCACCAAAGGGGTCCATGATACCAAAAAAAAAAAAAAGGTTAAGAACTTCTAACTGAGAGTCATAGGCAGAAAAAGCCCTTCGGCAGAAGGATCTTTCAAAGCCAATGGCTCATGGTTTTAGTATGTAGGGACTTCTACACGTGCTTCTGTGAATGATCTCTCCACCTCACATTCCACTTCTCCTCCCATCCTCCCAAAGTCTCTCTGGCCACAGATTACCTCATACTTTTCAAAGTACACATTGCCCAAGTGGAGGATGGAAGACAGAATTCGGAAGATGCTGTCCTGGTCTTCAATGCTAAAGTTTAAAACCTCCATGGCACTGAGGAGTCTCTGGAAGTCAGCTTCATCACTTTTACCCAGGATCTCACAGTTGCCACCCTGGGGAAGAGAAGATAGAAGATCTCTCTCTCTTTCTCTGGCAAGTAAATCAGATGTCTACTCACTAATGTGCTTTCTGGTCTCTTTTAGCCTCCCTATTGTGGTAGCTAATTTACATTGGTTAAATTTCTACAATTATTCCTTCCACATCAGAGGGGTTGGGGCATGATGCACCCACGATCTGGAAAATCCATGTAAAATGTTTTGGCCCTCCCTTCATACCACAGAAGTCTGAATTTTTTTCTTTTTCTTTTATGAGGTGTTTACAGGACCTTCTTGTAAAATCTGGGTTAAGTATTTGGTCATAGGCTATATGTAGGTCAATGTTAAGTAAAAATACTACCCTTGGTATGTGTCATCTGCTGACTTTCATATTCTTTTCACAAATCTTAACTTTTTACTTATTTTAACTTTAAAAAAGAAATTGTGCATATTTATGGTATTAAAATAAAATATGTTGATATCATACAATGCCAGACATATATTTTATGCATTTCTGAATTTCTAAACTTTTTCTGTGCCTGCTGCCCTTTACATGTTGTCTGCAACTTCCACAAAACTCCCCAAAATTCCCATTTAAATTTTTTTTCAATTTTTTTCTTTTTTAAAATTTTGTATTCATTTAATTTTTTTATGTGGACTCATGACATATTGAAACCATGATGTGGAAGGTATAACTATATGTCATTATTATAATTGGAGCTGATATCATTTCTCTTTTCCATTGCCCATTTTTATAGTACTTTTGACAAGTACTATTGTGCTACACATATATACGGTATTTTACTGTGTATAAAACATGCATAAAATAGACATGTTTAAAGGATGAGATAAAGACGAAATAAACAGCATTTTTAAAACAAAATGTGATTTTGTTTCATCTCAGTAAGAAGTTCTAGTTTTGTGCTCATGTGTTTTGGGTTGAAACCTAAGGGAATCTCAATTTTAAAAGAGGTCATCAGGCATTTCCTGAACCCTCTCTCTGCTTCACTGGTTTTCTTTGAAAATGGCACATGACGGGCAGCTAGGTTGTGCAGTGGATAGAGCACCAGCCCTGGATTCAGGAGGAACTGAGTTCAAATGTGGCCTCAGACACATAACACTTCTAGCTGTGTGACCCTAGGCAAGTCATTTAACCCCATTGCCTAGCCCCCCCCAAAAGAAAATGAAACATGAACAACAACAACAATAATAATAATGCTCAAGTGGGGCGGGGAGCATATCGAGAGGAGAGGGAGGAGGATCTAGTAAACAGGCCAGGGTGTCAGTTATTAAGCTGAAGGAAGCGTCAGCCTGAATTTAGAGATTGTACCTGGAGCCCAACCAGAAAGGACTTTACTCTTCTTAAGGACTGGACAAAGGAGCTAGAAACTGGATGGTCTGGCCGTGAAGCCCGAGCAGCTCAAGAGAGAAGCCAGACTTATTTTTAAGCTAAAAAAGGCTAGATTCTAGAACTGTGCTGGGTACTTATAATGTGCCAACCTGTTCATTGTTTTTACTCTGAAATGATGTTTATACTGAGTTTTAAGGTTTGCAAAGCACTTTAGAAATATTATCTCATTTGATAAAATTTTAGAGATGAGGAGACTGAGGCAGACAAAAGTTAAGTGAGTTGTCCAGGGTCACAAAACTGCTATGCATCTGAGGCCACATTTGAACTTGGGTCTTCCTGACTCTAGGTCCAGCACTTTATCTACTGCACTGCCCAGCTGACCACACTATGGGTAACCAGACCTGATACCCTAAATTACTTGACAGTGTGATATTTCAATGACTCACTCACCCTAGGGGGTTTGATCAGGTGATAGGGACTGGGCTTGTATATAGAGAATCCCCAAATGAGGAAACTCCTTCTGCCGAGCTAGGTAGAAACCTCTGTAATTTGTAGGCTTAGCAGTGAGAGGTTAGGTAGGGCTTAGGGTCACACAGCCAGCATGTGTCAGCAGGAAGACTTGACCTTAACTGACTCTAAGGCCAGCTCTCTCTGCACTTTGTTTCTCTAGGAGAAACTCTCTATGGAGAGACAAGTGTGTGTGTGGAGGTGAAGGGGGAGAGGAGGCTAGGTTACAACTCAAAGAGGGGAATCTTCCTTTATTCCTTGGCTTCTGGCAATGAGTAAGACCCAGTGTTCTGTTTGGAGGGGATTCAGGCATTTCTGTAACAGGCTCACAGCTCTGCCTCTGGATAGTTGTGGTTTTTACCTGATTCAGGTAGTAATAGGTCTCAGCTTCCTGAAGACTGAAGGTCTGCTTCAGCTGGGCTGGGAGTCCTGCCAGCATCTCATAGAATATGTGGTAATTTCGTTCATTCTTGGCCTGTGGAGTTGGGGGGAAGAGATGTGGGGGAGAGGGCACAGTTTATTTTATTTTTTTCTCAGTAGAAACAGAAGTTTTATTCTAGCAAGTCTTCCGCGAGAATTGGGCATCACCTACCCAGGGCGGACTGGAGTAGGGAGGCAGGATACAAGCAGCAAGCAAGCAGTTATATACCCCTAGACAAACAAATTCTAAGAAAACCCCATCCTCCCACCTTTTTATTTTATTTTATTTTTTTTCACCTTTTATCTATTTATTTATTTGTTTGTTTGTTTTTGGTATATAAATTTATTTATTTTTACCACAAGATTCTGAATTCCATATTTTCACCCCATCTTGCTCCTCCCCCCACCCCAAGATGGCATACATTCTGAATGCCCCTTCCCCTAGTCTTCCCGCCCTTCTCTTATCCCCTTCCCCTTCTATTTTCCTGTAGTGAGGGCACAATTTAGCACAAGCTAAAGAGGAGGTGACTTCCCCAGCCCAATCCAGTCCTCCCTCCCACCATATTTATATCCCTTCAGTGTGGGGAGAGGTACCTGAAACACAATCCGGGATTTTTCAAGGAGGTACTGAGACGTTATGGCACCACAGATCAAGCCGCTGGAAAGAGAGCAATGTTTTAAAGCAACTTCTGACTCCTCCTCTGAGCATCTCAAAGCACATTAGGGTGCAGAGTAGGTGGGCAACACTTATACTTAACGACCTTCCCCAGTCCCGGTTCTGAATGTAGCCATGAGAACTAAGGATAGTAGGAAATGATCATTTGGGTTCAAAAGATCTTCTGCTCACAGGTCTATCTACTCCTCCCAACCCCAAGAAAACACCAGTAGCCAGAGACCCTGTTGAAGAGTTTCTTGGGCCTTGGACTGGATTTTTGTTTGTTCGTTTGTTTTGTTTTTTGGCTAGGCAGTGGGGTTAAGTGGCTTGCTCAGGGTCACACAGCTAGTAAATGTTATGTGTCTGAGGCCGGATTTGAACTCAAGTCCTCCTGACTCCAGGGCCGGTGCTCTATCCACTGTGCCACCTAGCTGCCCCCTCCACTGTGCCACCTAGCTGCCCCTCAAATTTTTTTCTTTCTTTCTTTTTTTTTAAAGGCAATTGGGGTTAAGTGACTTGCCGAGGGTCACACAGCTAGTAAGTGTCAAGTGGTTGGTCTGAGGCCGGATTTGAACTCGGGTCCTCCTGACTTCAGGGCCAGTGCTCTATCCACTGCGCCACCTAGCTGCCACTGGACTGGATTTCTGAGTGATGATTCTGGGCAAGGAGAGATTGGTGACCTTCATGTCCCCTGTTCTTCTCCCACCTCCATTTTCAGTTCTATATGTTCCAGCTTCATATGGATTTTCCAAGATATCCACTGGTTTGGCCAAGAACAGAGACAGGAGAGTGCATAGCAGAGGTGACTGATCCCCTTTCCCTCACAAATGCTACCTTGAGCTCATCACAGCTGACAATAGGGAGACGCCCTAGGACCCCAGAGTCCAGGTATTTGGCAGAAGGTAAACAAATCACAAATGCTCAAATAAAGCCCATAGTGGCAAATGAAGCCTAGGTTGAGTTGAGAGTGGAAATGTTGAGAGCAAGGATGTAGGAGTGCGGTTGAGTGAGAGTAGTTACCCCAATGTCTCAGCTAGAAGCAGTTGCTTAGTCAGTCAGCCAACAAGCATTCATTAAATGCTTATGAATTGCCAGTCAATCAATAAACATTTATTAAATATCTACTATGTGTAAAGCATAGAGGCTGCTGGACAGTTCAGTGGATAGAGCACAGGCTCTGAAGTCAGGAGAACCTAAGTTCAAATCTGGCCTCAGACACTTACTAGCTGTGTGACCCTAAGTCACTCAACCCTGTTTGCCTCAGTTCCTCATCTGTAAAATGAGCTGGAGAAGGTAAACCACTCTAGTATCTTTGCCAAGAAAACCTCAAATGGGGTCACAAAGAGTTGGACAGGATGAAAAAAACGACTGAACAAAAAAACCACATATATGTATACATATATGTACATATATATATGTATATACACATGCATGTAACTGTGTATACAACATATATCCAGTGTAAATGGAAGATGATCTCAGAAGGAAGGTACTGGAGGGGCACAGGGTTAGGGGTTGTGGGAAGACTGGGAAAGAACTACTACAGAAAGCGGGATTTGAGGTGAAGCAAGCTAAGGAAGCCATGAGGCCGAGGTGAGGAGAGAGAGCGTTCCAGGTATGGGGGATGGCCATCTGAAATGCCTGCAGTAGGGAGATAGTGTCATATGGGAGGCGTAGCAAGAAGGCCCTTGTTGGAAGATTGTGGAGTATGTTGAGAAGAGTAAAGTACAAGAATACTGGAAAAGTAGGAAGGGACGAAGTTGTGCTGGGACTTTAAAAGAGAAGAGAAAAAAAAAACATGGATAGACTTGCACCAAATAATGAAGAGCTAAATGAGCAGAATTAAGAGAAAGTTGTATACAGTAACAACATCTGGGTAACTAAGTCATTTTGGCTATTATTAATACCCAAATTAACTACAAAGGGCCCATGATGGAAGACTATGTCTATCCAGAGAAAGAACCGATTAATAGAAGTATTTATAAAATGATTATATACATATATATATATATGCATATACATACATACATATTTGTGCCTAATGATAGCCATCTCTAGGGTGTAGGTGGGGAGGAAAAAAGGAAAAAAAGAATTACATGATAACTTTATTATATCTTTAAAATGAATAGCAAGTTGTACATAATAGATTTGCAGTTTCATGTGCAATCTTTTTTTCTACTATGTTATACAAATGCTTATTTTATTTCTTAAGTCCAGAATAAATAAAATTTTTTAAAAAGATAGAGAATGTAAAATCTTATCTTGGAAGTAATAGGGAGCCCCTGGAATTTATTGTGTATGTATATATGTATGTATGTATGTGCACGTGTGTGTGTTAGGGGGGATCATACAGTCAGACATGTGCTTTAGGAAAATCGTTTTGGCAGCTGAGTGAAGGTGGATTGGAGGAAGACCAGTCTGAGGCAGGGAGTCCAGTTAGAAGGCTCTTGACGTAGTCAGGCAGGGAGGGCATGAGGGCCTACATCAAGGTGGCAGCTTTGTGAGTAGAGAGAGGAGATGATATCTAGGCAAAACACTGTGGAGGTAGAAATGAAGAGTCTTGGCAGTAGACTGGATAAGTATAGTGAGTGCCAGAGTGCCAAAGAGTCTGTGGGCCTGGAGACTTCAAGGTAGATGTCCTTGGACTATATCTAAGGGCAACTCACACTCACCGCATCCTAGCTTTAGAACTAAAAGGTACCTGCAGGTCAAGTTGAATACTCTCACTTTACAGGGTCACACAACTAGTGAGAGTCCAAAGCTGAACCCAGGTCGTCCTGACTCCAGAACCAGTGCTGTATCTACCCCACATTGCCCCTGCCTCCTGGTGATCAGATAGCTAAGAATGCTCCTCCCTTCCCATCCAGAGTTCTTCCTTAGAGGAGGACCCTCTGACCCCTCACTCACTCACTCACCTCTCCAAAAAGATCTCTATGAACTTCCCAAAGCGACTGGAGTTGTCATTCCTCACCGTTTTGGCATTTCCAAAGGCCTCCAGCAGGGGTGTGGCCTCAAGGATCTGGCCCCAAGACCACATAAAACAAAACCAATGAATCCATCAGAGAAAAGGATACAGGAGGCATGTATGGGTTAATATCTCTGCTGAACCCAGGTGACCTGAAGACCCTCCAAACCCAGGACTCTCCCTCATCCGGGACCTAAGAGCCAGCCTTGGGCAAAACAGAATCCAACTAGCTTCCTTGAACCTGCTGACTTTTGGCCCCTACAGAGGATACAGAGGCAAAGACTGGGCAGATTTCAGAGGCTACACCACCAGAGAAGAAATGGCGACAGCTAGAGAACCAGAGATAGGCAGTAGATTGTGGGAAAGGTGGAGACAGTTGCTGCCCACCATCTCAGACTATGTATTAGCCTATTTCAGTAAGTAGAGGGGAGTAAAGGGTGAGAACTTTGGAAAGGTAGGAAGGAGCCAGGTTGTGTGTTTAAAGACACAACAGAGGATGCTGGAGGTAATAGGGAGCCACTGAATAGAGGAGGGCAGTATGTGAAATTTGACCTGACCCAGGAAGGACAAGAAGCCAGGAACAGAACTCTGAGGTCATCCCTTATTCCAGAAGAATGGTTTTACCCAAGCTTTTGCTAGGCACAATTTCCCAGGGATTCTGACCGGAACTTTATTTGGAGGGGAAAAAGCAAGTAGGAAAAGAATCTAGTCAACTGCTTAAGGCTATATGTTATACCATTCTCAGCCCAAATTAGTGTTAGGGCACTGCCATCCCCTCAATCACTACCAGCCTCACAGCAAACCAGCTCACTGCAAGTCCATCCACTATCGATGCATGTTCACAGCACGCCCCTCTCTGCTCCCTCCCCGCTGCACACTCTTCACTATGACCCCCACCCACCCTATGTTCCCCATTGCTTCCAAAGACCTCCACCAAAGTCATGGGCTCCAGGATCTGCCCCAACTATAAAACCAACAAAACAAACCGAACCAACCAGAACAAAACCAATGGCCTCTTCAGGAAGGAGGACCCTGGGGTGGGGGTGGGGGTGGGAGTGGTGTATAAGATAGGGGTCGTGCAGACAAGTGGTGGTTGGAACCATCATTCTGCTGGAGCCAGAAGGTCTGAAGCCTCCATTCACAGCAAACTCCTCACTGCTACTTCTATCTTCCTCCTAATTCCAGCCATTCCCCCCATTTACTGCAAGCCCCATGCACTGCCAATCACCTCTATGCAAAACTTCCATTCACTGCAGACCCGCCTGCAGTGACTATGCTCATCCCTGTTCTGCCATCTTCCACAAATGGGCCACAGTGGTTTCAGACCCCACCCATGGCTTCAAAGGGCCCTTGTTTGTGTTTGGGTCAAAAGTGCTGCCCCCCCCAGTTCCCTCCTCCCCGATGCCCACACATGAACACATGCAACAGACCATGCACGCATGCCAGATCCTATGTACCTTTATCTTCAGGAGCACATGAGTCAGGGAGAAGGAGGGGGTCAGGAACAAGTTCTGGGAGTCAATAGCAGGACTGAAAGTCATAGTCCCTACCCCACCCCCATCATGACCTGTTACCCTAGGTCAAAGCTGGACCAACCCCACTGTTCCCCTGTCCATCAGACACTGAGTGATGGAGGAGGAGACCCAAGCTCAGGGTTCCCTTTCTTTTCAGTCTCCCTAGCCCTGAGTCCACAAACTGGAATATGTCCACAGACGGCTAGCTAGGGTGGTGAGCATTCTGCAAGCCTTATAAACTGAGGATCTGTTGATGGACCTGGGGAAGTTTAGCCTGGAGGAAAGACAATTATCTTAAAAAACTTGAAAAATTGTCAGTGGGGAGAGCCAGGAGACTTTTCTGTTTGGTTTCAGAAGGCAGAACCAGGAGCAAGAGATGAAAAGTTTCAGGGAGGCAGATACGGGGCCAACGTAAGAATGAACGAATGTCAAGTAGGTGGTAAAGTGGCTAGAGGGCTGGGCCTGGAGTCAGAGAGACATGAATTCGAATTTGACCTCATATACTTACTAGCTGTGTGACCCTGAGCAAATCACTTAAGGTTCCCCATTTGTAAAATGGAGCTCATAAATGGCACCTAGCCTCCCTGGGTTATTATGAGGATCAAATGAGATAATATTTACAAAGTGCATAGCACAGTGCCTAGAACACAGTAGGTGCTTGTAGGGTTCCTGATTGGGGAAAAGCCATAAAATACAGTAATAAGTGAAAAACCATAACAACTTAAGCTCTGCGAAAGGTGGAAGCCCAAACATGGTGACCTGTTAAAAATCATAACTTAGATACTGAATCATAACTTAGACACTGAGTCAAACTTAAGATACTATGACCTATGAAAGCCATAACAAGAATATGGCGACCCATATATGACTGGTACATGATCAATACACAAACTTACATTTGGGCATAGCATTGACTTAACCCCCAAGCTCATTGCTAAGCAGAAAACCAAAAACATCCACCAATCAGCAGTGAGGCCTCTCTAGCTCCTCCTCCCTTTGTCTGTCTTCTATCATTACCATGGGGATCTTGGGGGTTCTTTTGCAGGGATCCACCACTGGTCTGGCCACCGCCCCAGACTGCTGATTATCTGAGCTTTTGGCCAGGATCCATCATATTGGCAGCCAATGGAAGTAACCCAATTGGTTAACCTGCCACTTATAATCTGGAGCTCCTTGGCCTCTTTGGTGTCGTACCCACTGTTTGAGAGGCAGGATTCTATAGGTGGTGGAATTCTGGACCTTACGGTGCTCAATACTGTTTTTTAAAAAAGGACTAGAACAGAGACAGCTAGGTGGTGCAGTAGATAGAGCTCCAGCCTTGGAGTCAAGAGGACCTGAGTTCAAATCCGACCTCAGACACTTGACACTTACTAGCTGTGTGACCCTGGGCAAGTTGCTTAACCCCAATTGCCTAACCAAAAAGCAAAAAAAAAAAAAAAAAAAAAAAAGAACTAGAACAACCAGAGTTGTAAACCAATGGAATGGGCTGTTTTGGGAGAGAGTGAGCTCTCCATTTCTGGGAATGTTTAAGCCAGAGGTTCTCTACCTTTTTTGCAACATGGACTCCTTTTCATGGGGCAGGTAAGTGGTTAGAGCCCTGGGTTTAGAATCAGGAGGATGTGAGTTCAAATCCAGTCTCAGACACTTACTAGCTGTGTGACCCTGGGCAAATCACAAAAATGTCTGTTTGTCTCAGTTTCTTTAACTTTAAAATAGGGATAACAATAACACCTATCTCGAAGGGCTGCTGTGAAGGTGAAATGAGATAATATTTGCAAATAGGGATCCCTCTTCAGAATAACATTTTTAAATGTATAAAATAAAATACAGAGGATTATAAAGGAAATAATTTCAACTATATTGAAATAAAGATATAAAAATATCTTAAAAGCTGGTTCATGGATTCCAGGTTTAAAAACCCTCATACTTTAAGCAGAATCTGGATGACCACTTATCAAATGACACTTTGGGTAGAAGGGTGGACAAGAGAATGTTTAAAGCTCTTCCAACTCTGAAATGCTATGATTCTATTAATATATGCTGAGACCTCTAAGTCAGGGCCTTATCTCCACCATCCCCACCTCTGACTTCCAGGTGCCAAGAGCCAATGAAGTCAAGGAGTTTGATGTGACCTAGGAGAGAGGATCCAACTTCGGTAATGAAAACAGCTGGGGAAGATAGAAGTTTTAGAGCAGGAAGACAGCTCAGAGGTCATTAATCTCAGGGCCCTATGACTGCAAGAGTCCTACAAGCTCTGATATAAGCAGATTCAAGAAAATAGGCATGGGATCAGAAGATATTGTCAAGAACTCAGTTGTCACTGATCTTGCAATGCAGAATCATTATTACCTAAACCGGGGTGGGGAACCTGCTGCCTCAAAGCTTCGTGTGGTCCTCTAGGTCCTCAAGCGTGGTCCTTTGACTGAATCCAAACTTCTGGACTCGAGGACCTGAGTTCAAATCCAGCCTGAGACACTCACTAGTTGTATGACCCTAGACAAGTTATTTAACCCAGATTGCCTCAAAAAAAAAAAAAGATAAGAGGATACAAAGAAATCTAAGATATAGTTTCTGATATTGATGTTTTGGTCTCTCTCTGCCAGGCTCCACGTGACCTCAATTAAGGCTGCAGGGACAAGGGGTGAGCATGGTCCTCAACAGGGGCAGCAAAAAGCTATTATGAGGTTTCAGCAGCTTCCCCTGTAGCTGTTTTCTCTCAAGAACAATCATCCAGTTTCTTCCACCCCACAGCAAATGGCAGTTCCTGAGTTGACCCAGCTTCAGGGATTTGGGCAGGAGAAAAGAGTCAGACTTGATATATGTGCTGAGCTTGCTCTAATGCTATTGGAATAGAAAAAAAAAAAAGACTTCCAGCAAGAAAGCTGGAGAGTTTCTATAAAAGTACAGCCTCTCTCACCATTTCAAAATATCTAAAAAGGTACAAAAGAAACCAGAAAACCAAACATAGACATATACTTAATAATTTAAGAACTGAAAGAGGAAGATGGAAATAAATCCACAAAAGAAAGGTAGGGAAAGGAACAACATAGAGATTGAGGAAATAAGGAAACACTATAATAATTTTTGAAAAAATTTTAATTTAAAAATAAATTGTAAACAAAATAAATTCCTAATACAATGAAGAAAACTTATGGTGTTTACAGCAGGTACAAGTAGAACCCTAGAAAAAAGGATGGAATGATCACAAGAACAATGAGAATTTTTGGAATGTTTAATAATCTGAAGGATTCTTTAGGACTTCTGACTAAAGAGGTGACATGTTGGGACCCAGAGGAGCCCAGGTCCTCCATAAGTCTACCTAGGAGACTTCTAAAATTATACCAGGAAAAACATGATAAAGAAAACCAAGGAGAAAGCATTATAAGCTATAAGCATCCCTCCAGTACAGGCCTACACAGGAAGTTTGCTAGAAACTTACAGAGGCTGTGAACAGAGACAAGGCAGGTTAGGCAAAGAAGGCACAGTGTATAAAACAGGGATAGACCAGTGCCAGGTCAGTACAGTGCTGAGCCTGAGCCT